TTTTTTTTTTTTTTTTAAGAAACACAACTCTTTCCGGGGGGGCGGGGGAGGGTGCGGGGAGAGAAAGTCAGAATGGATAGCTAGCTGGAACTACCTCACCATTCCAAGTGAGATTTTAGTCATGTGAGATGGAAAGATGGCCAGGACCCCAAAATCCTGAATCTTGAACTGGTTACAGTCAAGCTGCAGGGCACTGAGGGGGTTGTTAAGAGGATGACTGAATTTTAACTACAGTTGTCTAACTCCTCCAGCTTCAGCAACGAAAGCTGGGGGAGGCAGGGACTGGCCATTCCATTCCTCAGGGGTCAAGGGACAGAATGTTTCTGTACAATGAATTAAATTTTTATAATTAAAAAAATTTTCTCTTTGAAAAGAAAGATTGCCACAAGTTTGAGGTCATTTTCTATTGGGACGAATGTGGTAATGAGTGTCTCTTCCTGGAAAAGAGCAGGATGTTCTTCGGAAGCCCTGGTGAGTTAGAGACCAGAGTCCTGGGGCAGAGCCGGCCAGAGATCAGCTCAGTGAGACTGTCAGCCCTGCCTTCCAGCGGCTCAGCAGATAGTATCAGATAAAACCTGTCACCAAGCTACTCCTTGCTTATCCAAAATTTAGTTGTTGGGTAGTTTTTGGTCCTTGTCAGTGTTGGAAGAAAATTTCATTGAGAAGGGATGTAGGAAGATAGGTTCTGCCTTTAAAAGACCAAAACATGGAGATTTTTATATATATATAATATATATATAATATAAATATATATATAAAATACTAAATTGCATATAGTATGATAGTAATATATAAGTTTATATATATAAATATATATATGTAACTATAATACTATATGCAATATAGTATCGGGAGTAACAGTGTGTGCACATTTAGCACAATTGCAGCTCTAGCCTTTGCTGAAGAGAGGAATTTAAATGCTGGCAGGTGTGGGCCATTCAGTGCACACACACCCCAGCCTAGCTTGAACTGGGAGGCATGGATCTGCTGTCCCATCAGTCAGTCTCCTTCCATCTAGTCTCATTGTGGAAGCATCTCCCTGCCTGGAAGGGGTTCTAATGTTTAAGTACCTCTCATTCAACATAGGGCTGTGAACTCAACCAATAAATGGTAACCTTGGAGGAAAAACTGGCTTCTGGACCAAGTGACACATGGCTTCCTGCCTCCATCATGGTCCCCTTCTCAGTAACTCAAGGTGATTTTGACTGTGCAGTTTTTGCCTTACTCTGTTGAGTGTAGAAAGCACCTTTCCCGCCCAGCCTCCTCCAAATAGAAGTCCATCTAATTGCTAGCTAGCCTCTGAGTTTCTTCTGTGTGCCACGAATCTTACCTAAAAGTGAATTTTATATGCCTAGCCTTCTTTGCAAAGATGCATATTTTTTCATTTTCTCTCCGAGACTATAAAATCTCCATGTTTTGGTCTTTTAAAGGCAGAACCTATCTTCCTACATCCCTTCTCAATGAAATTTTCTTCCAACACTGACAAGGACCAAAAACTACCCAACAACTAAATTTTGGATAAGCAAGGAGTAGCTTGGTGACAGGTTTTATCTGATACTATCTGCTGAGCCGCTGGAAGGCAGGGCTGACAGTCTCACTGAGCTGATCTCTGGCCGGCTCTGCCCCAGGACTCTGGTCTCTAACTCACCAGGGCTTCCGAAGAACATCCTGCTCTTTTCCAGGAAGAGACACTCATTACCACATTCGTCCCAATAGAAAATGACCTCAAACTTGTGGCAATCTTTCTTTTCAAAGAGAAAATTTTTTTAATTATAAAAATTTAATTCATTGTACAGAAACATTCTGTCCCTTGACCCCTGAGGAATGGAATGGCCAGTCCCTGCCTCCCCCAGCTTTCGTTGCTGAAGCTGGAGGAGTTAGACAACTGTAGTTAAAATTCAGTCATCCTCTTAACAACCCCCTCAGTGCCCTGCAGCTTGACTGTAACCAGTTCAAGATTCAGGATTTTGGGGTCCTGGCCATCTTTCCATCTCACATGACTAAAATCTCACTTGGAATGGTGAGGTAGTTCCAGCTAGCTATCCATTCTGACTTTCTCTCCCCGCACCCTCCCCCGCCCCCCCGGAAAGAGTTGTGTTTCTTAAAAAAAAAAAAAAAAGGCAATTAACCCCCCTACTTTGAGCAGAAGGCAGCTGGCTTCTCCTGTCTCTTCCTTGCACCTGGCAAGATCGGAAGAACTCCCCATGGGCACTTCCTCTCTGGGGTCACTTAGCTGATTTGCTGATCTAATTTAGAGGCCTCGAGTCAGAATTTGATTGGCACCATGTTCCCAAGAAGAAACAAGGTTTTGAAATAAGTTTGTTTCTCAGAAGCTTCCTGAATTCAAAAGAAATCAAAGACTCCACATCGAGTCTCGGGACATTTCTTCTAGCAAAAAAGTGGAGCAGCCAGGGAGGCACATTATAACCCTTAAGCAGCCTTACATCTTTGCTCCGATGTGAACTCATCAGTGGAACGTGCCGAAAGAAGCCACTTAGAGCCAGTGAGCTTCGTGAGAGTTCGTTGAGAAGTGATACATCAAGAATTTGATTTTATCTCCCTCGGGATTCTGTCTAGTTGGCCCTTAGAAGAATCAGTGGTAAACTAGCAATTTCCTGGACATGGCTGAAGCTAATCTCTCTTAAGTTTCTACATCACAACACTGCAGGAAGGCAGCATGTGACAGTGAAAAATGCACTGGGCTCTACAGCCAGCCAGGCCTCGGCTCCAATCCTGGCTCTGCAATGTCGAAAGAGCTGGGTGATCTCAGGCAAGTTACTTCATCTCCAGAGGGAAAGACAACCTCGCCCAACATAGGAGCAAGCAAGCTATCTGAAGGCCTGGCCACAAGCCGTGGCACACAGTAGGTATGTGGCAAATACTGGTCCTCTCACATCGCCTTTCCTCCTGCCACTTCAGCCCCCTGTGTAGGCCAGCGGAGTGCCAGTGCTGCCACAGACGAGCTGTGGAACTGTGGGCTAGTTACCTCTCTACGCCTTCATTTCTGCACCTCTAAAATGGAGTACCATCATACCTACCACATAAGATGGTTGTGAGAAGTGCATTTTAAACATATCAAGAGCCTTAAAAAATAAGTGTCACAGCCTCTTTCAGCTTCTGAGAGGCCCTGATGTGAGCCCATGTGAACAGATTAGGAAAAAAGCGATTAAAATGCAGTGACAGTTATAGCAAAATAATACGGAAAAGTAACCACAGGTTGCTTGGCCACATGGTTAAAGGTCTCGGTTGAAGAATCCCGCTGCCCACGTTCCACCAGGCTCTCCTATTTCAGTAGCTATCTGATTTGGGGGATATGACAGACCTCTGCATCATGGTTTCTGTAGCCATGAAATGAGCATGATAATAGTAGCCTGCTTTCCAGGCTGCTCTGGCTCAGAGCAAGTGCGCTGTTAGCGTAAGTGCCGTCTTCATCACCATCATCACGCCGTGTCACTCTCAAGAAAGGAAGCTGGGCTGTACGCAGAATGAAACGCCTTTTATTTCCTGTGTTGAGACAGAGGCCATCAGTTATCCAGCTGGCACAGAGATGCCACCCCCCGGTTTATCCAGTGGCTCTGGGGCCTGCGTGTTGGGAGTTCTATGGAGAGCACGTAGTTGGTAGAGTGGCCTGTGGTGGAGAGGACACCTCTCCGGGCACTTGTTTTATAGACTGGACACACATAAATGTTCTGATGCAGAAATGTGGCACTCTCTCCTGGTTTCAGCCAAATGATGGGCAATGGGTCATAGAGGATTTTCGGGAGAGACTCCTCAATCTGCATCATTTTCCTGTCCCAACGAGCACCTTCTAAGAAGAGTCCTTTTATGTAGGCCCCATCTTCTGGGTTCTGCTCCATGACAGTTTCTTGTGTGGTGACCTGAAGGAGAAGCAGCTGTGAGTTTTGTGACCTGCCATTTTCCTAATGGGGCACCACTAAGAGTCTGGAAAAGTGTAACCTGGCTGCAATGCCTGCCTTTCCCAGGATGCACCTCCCAGGACACTGGGCTTCTGGGATAAATTTCTGTGTGCCACAGGTGGGCCAGGCAAGATTCCTAGTGGGCATGCTGCCCTTCTACACAGCGGACATAGAGAACGCACTAAACTAGGGGTCCGGAGACCACATTGACTCTAGCTGGGTGGCCCTTTCTGAACCTGGACCTATAAAACGAGGGGTTAGATTCAGATGCACACTAGTAAAAGTTTCCTGGGGCAGAAATAGAGCCTTGATTTGTAGTTTTTGTCAATTTCTGTGGTCTAAAGGCTCCCACCATGGCCAATTTCAGGCTATCAACGATTCAGTAATCAGCTCCAACTGGTTCTGATGAGTTGGTATGAGCCAGTTCTAGCCCATCACAATTTATTTGTTTATTTGTTTTTATTGATTGATTTTAGAGGCAGGAAGGAAGAGACAGAGAAACATCAATTTGTGTTGTTCCTCTTATTTGTGCACTCATTGATTGGTTCTTGTATGTGCCCTAACTGGGACTAAACCCACAACCTTGGTGTATCGGGACAAAGCTCTAACCAACTGAGCTACTGGCCAGGGTACCCATGACAATTAGATTCAGAGGAGTAAATGCAAATTCCTTCAGGTAAATGCAGAAAATGGTCTAGGTGTCAGAGAAGAGAGATTGGTGGGGATTATGGTGAGCCAGAGACCATAAACTCCATTTTAAAATCACTCAAATTCTGATGTTTTTGTTACTGGGAATGGTAAGTTTTTCCCACTTCCACTTCTAAGTACTTATTGCTAAAATAGGAAAGGCTATTGATTTTTGTCTATTTAACCAGTTACCTTACAAATTCTTCTATTCTTATAGATATGTTTTAAGGGTCTCTTAGGATTTCTAGGTACACAATCATTTCAACATCAAAAAATAAGATTTTATCTTTTTTCCAATGTTTATGCCAGTTATTTATTTATTTATTTATTTATTTATTTATTTATTTACTGCATTAATTCCTGGATTAACATTGTCTTCAGAGGCCCATTAAGTTTATTCACAAACTAAATTGAGACCTAGGGGCAACCAGTTTGTGGCCTGTGGACTAGATGATCTCAAAGATCTTTCCACAGAATTTAAAATTTTACAATCCATCAGTCCATCTCGCTCCTTTCTCTCCACAGAGTATGAACAGGGTGATACTTGACTATTGACAATTCTTTTAGCTTTACTCCAAACAAAGGACTACCCAAGACCATTAGCATCCTTCCAACTAAAGAGCCCACCGTGTTAAACAGACAGCACGGGAGGATGCTTTCATTTTTCTTGGTATAACGGTGGCAGATTTTTCCTCTGAAAATATCCCTTTATATATACAAGATACAAAGCCTTAGGAATCCTCTGGTTCCGTCAGGAATAACTTCTGGAACTACTTTAGTTCATGCTAAATATTTCACTTGCACCGTCTCAGCAGCATTCGTGCCTAACACATCGAAAGTTCAGAATGATGGGAAGTGGGCAGCACTGGTTTCTCTGCCTGACCCTGAGCTGGCCTAAGCCAAAGCACTCCTACCTCAAACTCAAATCCAATGTGGTCAATGGGGATGGTGTATTTCCGGGCATAATTCTGAGAGACACCTGTCAAAAAGGACTGTGTGAAGTAGAATCCGGAGATCCAAAAGACCACAGGGGGCCCACTGTCGATCCAGTCCTGCAGGGCCACAGAAATAAAAATTCACAATCAACAAAAAATCAAAGATAGTTCAGAGGCAGGTAATGTAAATGAGTCCCGTTACGAAATATGCTTTTTTTCTTTTTCCTTGAAATAGGCAGCCTTTCAGTTTAGCTTATATTTTCCCACTCAAATAAAGGTACAAAGATGTATATTTCTACTTGGAGAAAAAGTCACGTGCAAGCTGGTGTCAGGGACTGAGCCACAGCCTGTCCTCTGCAGCAACAGTTGCCATGCAGGCCCACTGTGTCAGGTCTTCCTTTTCTTGTAGAACAAGCATCTTGATTTTTATGTGTAATAATCCAATGTTTATATGCTAGCTCAAGGATTTTCAATGACCAGGCAGCCAAACCAAATATATCTTTTAGCCAAATCTGGTCCATAAGCCACCAGTTTGTGACATTCCTACTCTTGCCTCCATAAGCTACAATCTTTCCAGGCATCTTGAACTCTGGGAAGACTGTTTCCAGTAGGAGCTCAATCCAAGATGCTGCGTGGCTACCTTGTCTACTCCCTCTGTCTCTAGTCTGTCATTTCAGAATGTCCTCTCCACCTGAATGAGCCAACCAGGTGCCTAGTTACCCTGACTCCCAGGTACCTGGAAGAAGGCCAGGCGGGCCAGCATGTCAGCCACGTAGCCCCCCAGGGGCTTCAGCGATGGGTAGGACTTGGCCATCCACAGGGCTGGCACTTTGCCCACAAGCATGCTATTGAAGACATCCTCCAGCTCTGAGGACATCAGGACCTGCCCTTTGATGGCTCGGCCAAGGTTGATGAGGCTTATACGAACCACTTTGGTCAACCTGTAAGAACAAAGGAACTGCTCAGCCCAGCTCTCCAGTGGCCTCATTTCACCCGAGTACACTGACTCCTGGCTTCCTTCTACTTCTCCTTCCTTTAAAAGGTCAGACAACTAATGTACATTCATGGTAGAAAACTTCTAGAGCTGAGAAAAATTAAATCACCCAATTGTCTTACCACCTGAAAATAACTTTGATGTACATAGATCTTTCCAGATTTTTCTGTATGTAAACAAATTATTATTTTTTTTGTTCTTAAGATTGGTTTTATTTAACAAATTATTTTTTAATGGGATCATACTGTATTAGTATTTTGTAATCTGTTTGTCTCTCTTAGCATATAGGGATCTTTTTCCATTTAAGAGATTTAAATTATCCTTTTTAAAGACTGTAAGGTGTTCCATTTTATTTAACTAACTATTCCCCTACTGCTGAAACTTTTTATTTCTACATTGTTGTCACTGCAAACAACATTGCTAGAAACATCCATCTATATCAATCTTTATGCAGATGTGTAATGATTTGCTTACTAAAACTGGAAGTTTTAGGTCAAAGGGTAATGCAGTTTTAAGGGTTTTGATCTACACTGTTATTCTGACCCAAGGTGTTCTTTTTAATAGACTGACTATGAGGTGTATACCTAAGAAAAGGCAACTGAAGGGCAGCCTGGGAGATGCCAAGCTCGCCTGTCATTCTCTCTGGCTTCTATATATGAGGCCTAGCGAAGCCCAGAGAGAATGTACCTGAGGGTGCCAAAGACTCTGCCACCAGAGAGAGCTTGTCATCTCTAAAGACTTATGAAATCCAACCAAATGGACATGAGAACAGTCAAATGCAAGAAAGGGATTGTGGATGTGTAACCACAAAACATTCACAGTAAGGAGAACTCGGTGCATGTGCTTTGCTGGGGAGTCAAGCTTATCGCACCGCAGACCTCTAACTGTAACACCTAAGGACCAACCTGTAAAAGTTTCTTTTCTATTCTTGCAGGTAGGAGCTCCGCTAGTTTCAAGGTGTTTAGTACCCAAGGAAGGGGCATTTTCCCCAGAAGACAACAATGTTTCCTCTGAATTGGAAGCTGAGCAGTCACCCAGTCATTTGGGGCTTCTCATACCACTGAACAGGCCAGAACGGTAGTGAGGAGGAATGTTAGAGCATTGCCCGATTGATTAACCCTGACCATCGCTGGAAAATGAGGTTACCCTGTTTGCCTGCATTACCCTGTTTGCCTGCATTACAACGGCCAGCAGTAAAGGCCAGTGAAAGCCCCTGCTACCCCAAGGATGAGCCTCCGTGACCTCAGCAGGGAATGGGAGCCATTAGGCCTGGTGTCTGGATGTATGAGGACGACAGCCCATGGTGCCAAGTTATCTGGCTCACCACAGTGGTGCAACATTCTAGGCTCACACCCCATCTTTGCTTGATTCCCCCATATAGCCAACTGCCTCCTGACTCTAGAGAGGAACCTTAAAGACTGGGGAAGCCAAGAAATTCTTAGACGGCATTCTTCTAGTTTCCTAGTCCTTCAGAGTCAGAGCTGTCCCTTAAGCTGAGCAGCGACCAATGAGGCAGAAGGAGAAAGCAACACCTAGAGTCTGGAGCAGTAACAACCTTGAGGCAGAAGCGATGAGTTCCCTCCTCTGGCCTGGATGGTCTTTGGGAACCCTTTCAGTTTTGAATCTGGGCTCAATGCTATATGCAGTAACTGGAGAACTGAGGATGGAGCCCCATGGCCAGCCCATAACACCCCTTCCCTACCTCTGTGGGAGAGGCAGTGGGATGAACTTCTCCCCTCCCCTTGCTCCGTTTACCCTGATTTCACATATTGGCTAAGGGCATGGGCTCTGGAATCAGACAGCCTGGCTTCAAATTCAGTTCTTCCACTGAATGACTGTGTGACCTTGAACCAGTTACTTAACCCATCTGGGTCTCAGTTTTCTCACCTACAAAATAGTGATAGAGGGATTACTAAGTGCATATTTCAAAAGATTGCTCCGTGGTTGGATGCAAACATATGCGTGGTGCTTGGAGCCATACCTGGCACCAAGGGCTCAGTAAAAGTGGCTGTAATGATTACTTTTACTTGTGCGTGGTATTAACCTGACTTTGCAGATATCACATGGATGAATGAACAGATGGGAGAGAATGAATAGAAGGAATGATTTAATCCTGGGCCAGCACTTGTTGGTATGGTCCCATTTACAGCCCTCACTGTGAGTGGGACAAACCACTTCCTCTGCATGGCAACCCCTCATCAAGCGTCCATCTCAGTAACTGCCAGTTAGATCCCATCCCTCACACTCCAACTCCCAGGATCCAAATAAGCCTGTTGGGCCCACCTGTTGAATCTGATGAGCTCCTGCCTGAGGACGGTGTTCATGGATTCCTCATAGACCACGGGGTACAGCTTCATGACCACTTCCATGTCAAAGTCCTTGGGGAGTTTGGAGAGTATGTCGTGGGTCAGCTCCTCAATCACTTCCTTAGAACGCAGGGGAGAAGTGGGTAAGAAACAAGCGGGTGGGTGGTCTTTACCACCTCTGGGTGAACTTGAGGCAGTCAGCTTTTGTCTTTGTAAACAGTCTGTTGGCCCTTCCTGGGAATGTTCCTACAGAAGCCAGTTCTGCTGGTGAAGGGGGGTGTGTGTGGGGTGTGTATCTGCACCAACCTTGGGGAGGACATCACTACTTTGGCCTAGAAAGTAAAANAGGGGATGACCACCTCTGCACCAACCTTGGGGAGGACATCACTACTTTGGCCTAGAAAGTAAAAAGCTAGCAGAGAGAACCCTGTTTTCACACCTGGAGCATGGCCAGAGAGCCAGGCCGGAAATGCCTGCTTGGCCTCAGCGAGGTGGCCTCAGGGCAGCCTTGAACCCTGCAGAGCTCCTGTCTATAAGTTGCCCCCAGATGAGAGTCTCCCACAGCTCTCAGAGCTGGTCTTTTAGGACCCACTCCAGATATGGATGGGACTCTTGCTCAGGGCCAGTGACAAGGACACCTGGGAAGGCAGTGGGCCACTCCTCAGCATTGATCAAGAATAGCTCAGAGCAGTGGGCCTTGTCAACTATGGAGTGACAGGCCCAGAGGTGCAAGGAGCAGGAGGGCCTGGTGTGGGCTCTGCCCTGAGGCTCTGCCAGGCTGGATGTACACTCCTTGCCCACTTCCCACTGCAAAGGGAATTTCCACCCTAAGGTTGAGACACTGCACTCAGGCTGGTTTACCTTGACAGCTATTCCCACTTCTGCCCAATGAACCAATCAGGAAACCACACACACAAAATCCACGGCTGAGCTCAGAAGGTTGGAGAAGGGAAGGGGGGAGGGGGAGAGGAAGGCGTGGTGGAGTCAGGGGCTGGCGGCTCTGGGCCTGGCTCTGCCTCTGAGCCTCTGGATGCCTGGGAGCAGGTCGCTTCCTGTCCCAGGGTTCGCTTTGCCCTCATCTGTAGACTGAAGATGGCGATCTGACCAGAGAGACCTACAAAATGATCCCAGGTGCTTCTAGGACATGGAGCAAATCATGTTGAATCACACGATGAGAAAGTCACCCTCCTTTAGTTTCAGCCCTTTCTCTTCTCGTTCCCCTCAAGGAGAAAGTCTCAGGTCTGTGCTAACGACACCCCGACACCTGGGGACACCTGCCATTCCTCTCCTTTTGCTCGGGCCAGCCAGGCCTCAGCCTCAGCAACATCGTCTGGAGAGAAGCTGGTCACTGCTTAGCTTTCATTTTCCGTTTTGTGGCTGCCATGACTTTATGGAAATGGGGTTGGGTTTCCATTTATGGTACTGATGTGTGGTTTTTGAAATAAATAATTTTAAGTCAAATAGAGTGGGTTTTTAAACATTACGTANTATTACGTAAAGGGAGTATAGATATGTGGGTATAGCAATGAATCCTGAACGTTCTACAGGAATGGTTGACNCATTACGTAAAGGGAGTATAGATGATATGTGGGTATAGCAATGAATCCTGAACGTTCTACAGGAATGGTTGACGCCTGGAGACACTGGTGCACTGAGGACCCTCAGCCAGAACACCGGGGCACCTGGGCCCCCTGCCGGGGCCACCAGGCCTCCACTTTTCTGCCTCCTTGCTGGTCACCCACAGTCTTGTGCCTCTGGGTAGAAAACTGCCGGGGAAAACAAATTCAAGCCAGGTTACCTGAGGGGACTTGCCACTGCCTCCCGACTGCCTGGGGAGAGTCAGCAGCACCCCCTGAAACAGCTGGTTGGTCTCCTGGTTGTCCTTGGTGATGTCTGCGTTCTCATGGAGGCCAAACACTTCTGGGTGGGCTGTGATGGGGAGGTTCCTGAGGTACTCGATATAGGACTGAAAAGAAAATCTTCAGCTGACATAAATGTAGATTCCCTGGGCTCCCACAGATCACTGAGGGCTCGGGAAGACCCAACCCGGGCAGGAATCACACTGAACTGGGGACACGGGACACACGCGCGTGCACACACACGCACGCACACACGCACGTTCAGGGTGAACACATCCCAAGCTCTCCCGCACTTTCAGGCTTTGGAGCCAGACAGAACTGGGTTTGGATCCAGCCCCTACACAAACTAACTGTGTGACATCGAGCTTGTCCCCTGAAACCCCAGTTTCCTTGCCTGTCAGTGGGAAGGCAATGAGGCTATAAAGGAGTAAGGCCCTGGCATGCCACTGGCTCCAGAAGAGAAGCTGCTTCCACCCTCCCTGCGGGTCCTGGCTTCCTCTTTCCTTTCTCGTGCCCCCCCCGCCTTTTGGCATCTTCTGAACCCTTCTTTCCAAGTAGCAATTTCCAGCCTGTTCACTATCAAGGCTTCATCTTAACTCCCCTTCCCCCCCAGGAATCCCCCCTATTTTGAAAGACCATGTCTACCAAATACTCAGTGTTCATTATACAGTAACAATGTCTTTCTCATAGGCTTTTTGGAATATTGGAAATAGCTCATGGACACAAATTGGGAAGCTCAAGGCTACCCCTGGGCCCTCATTGGCTGCACTGCAGCCCCTAGCCACATGGAGACTGCTAACTCCCCCCAGGAACAGAGGGGTCTCTCCCTCCACTGCCCCTCACCTGGTAGGAGCCATGGGGAGGGATGTAGTAAGTATCTCCAGGAGCGACACAGTAATGGTCCTGCTCGATGTCCTTACAGAAGAAAATGGACAGAAGGGACAGCAGGAGACGCCTGTCTTTGTCATCAGTCACTCTGCCTCCATAATTACACTCCCCTGGAGACAACCGGCAGAGGAAGAAATTGAGCCCAGGGAATGTCATAATGAACTTGGTCATTAACCTAAAACAGAGGATTCTTGGAGCCAAGGAGCTCTGCTGAGATCCAGGGCTGCTGAAACCACACTCAGCCTGGGGTGAGACCAGGCCTATTTGGTATTGTGGTTGCTATAAAAATAATCCATGCTCACCGTGTTAGAAATTAGAAAATAGAGATAAACAAAAATAAAAGCATACAATCATCAATAATTGCACCAAAGGTAACTATTAACATTTAGGCATCTTCCAGATGTGTGTGAGCGCGTGTGCGTCTAAGCGTGTATGTGTACACATATGTGAAAGACATTACAGAAATGAGGTTCAGGTCAAGAACCCTCGCATGAGACAGTCCTGGGTTCCAATTCCAGCTCTGCCACTTTTCAGCTCATTTCTGGGTTCCGACCTCTGCCGTTTAAAAGCAGCTTCTCATCGTCAAGAAGCAGAGACAACTGAAGAGCCCATCTTACAAGGTTGTGTTAATAATGCCTGTAAAGCGTTTAGCAGGAAGCTTAGCACAGAGAGCATTCGATTAGTTATAGCCATTACAAAGGCATATATTCGAGGCAGCTGAGGTTATCCTATCTGTACTGCTTTGGGATATGTCTTCCCCACCCCGCCCCCATCATTAACATCATTCTCTGAGACTCAGGCTTCCATACTTGGATTTCTACAAGAAGAATTGGGTAATTCTTTGAATGGGACATCAAGTGCACTTTGCCAACCCCAGGACACATTTTCTGGCTGGTCCAGACTCCACAGTATGTGGTACCACCTGGTATTTGGTAGTTGTTGCCAACACACTAGTCTTCAAGGAGATGCGTGTGTGTGTGCATGTGTGTGTGCGGGGGCTCTCCTGAAGGGTGGGCTCATTTTCAATCCCAACCATTCCAGAAAGAGGCAGGTCTACAGACAAGAAACAGGGAGTACAACCCAAGTTGGGGGCAGAAGGCCTCAGCTTTTCTTGGTCCTGAGTTGGCGAGGATCCTGGTGGCTCATCAAGGGAGAAAGGGCTAAGGGAAAGCTCAGTCGTTTGCGTCGTCTGAGCCCTCCGGAAGCCGTTCCACCTTGAGCCATCTAGATGTCTGAAGCTCTCTCTGCTGACTTCTCAGGCCTTTAGCAGTTTAGTTTGAACATTAAGTGGCTTGTCCCAGCTGTGAAGAGGTTTGTGACAGCACCAGAACTACAATATTAAAGGGAGAGTGGTCTGTCCCCTGAAGTCGGCATGACAGTGTTGTGGGCACCCAAGAGGGACCCAAGTGAAGGTGCATCTCAAGCACAGAGTCCTGGGGGAAGGTTCACTTCTGCTTCAGCAAATTTTTCTTCAGGGAACACTCCTGTGGCTCTGGGTTTTGTGTTTATGAAGGAAGGTGCATTTCTTTAAAGCTACTTCTACATCTACTCTCTGAAGCAAGAGCACAAGTTTCCTGCAGGGGCCAGGATGTGCTTTATATCTCTTCAAAATTCTCACTGTTCCTGCTGCAGAGCTAGGGTCAGGGGTACCAGACTGAGAATGTATTGGCTTCAGCCCATCTAATTTGATCACCACTCTCCCAAGGAGACCTGTCTCTTGGGTGAAAGTCAGCACAGAGCTCTAACAATCATCTGTGTCTAGTCTTTCCTCCAGGCATATAGGAAGGTTACACTTCCCTCGGCCCCTTGCCGTAGGGTGGGGCTGGGTGACAAGTTCTTGTGCATTTCATTCTTGGCATGAGCCCTTCAGTGACAGCCCTGTTGCAGCGACCACACTAGTATATGTTGAGATGGTGGCATCAAGAGTTGGTGGAGCCTTTGCCAACTGTGCCCCTGACATAATTACAATGAACAGCAACTTTTGCTGATTCGCACAAAATGTAGATTGGGCAAGAAATGGACCCTTGATGCCTGATGCCCTTGAGATTTGGGGACTGTTTGTTACATCAGCTTAACTAGTCTATGCTGACTGTACAGTTGGAAGGTGACTGTCCTCAAGCCCCTGGCACCGGTGGAGCAGGTTGGTTTCTGAGCTGCAGGCGGCACTGACCATACCCCAGGGCAATCATGCATCCGTTCCATCCTGCGCAGGAGCCCCGTGCTTCTGGAGAAGACCTTTCCACAAACTAGCACCCATGGGACTCATGCTGTGTCACTTGGGGTTTTGTATTAGGGGACGCTGTGCTGAGGGAAGGTCTGTGTGACCTTCTGCAACTGAACTTTATCACCTGAAAGCAGAACTTCTCAGCCTTAGCACTATTAACATGTTGGACTGGAGAGTTCTGTTTGTGGGGCTGTCCTGCATTGTAGGATGTCTAGCAGCACCCTGGCGTCCAGCCTGTTGTGCTCTATTTTAGTTGTGACAGCCAAAAATGTCTCTGGACATTGCCAAATGTCCCCTGGGGGCAAAATCACCCATGGTCAAGAACCACTGCTCTCAAGCCTCAGTCTCATCAGCTGTGAAATGGGTTACTCACAGATTGCTGTGAGACTCATGCGCTGATCTGCTGTGGAAAAAGAAGGGCTTCTACTGAATGCAGCCTCGCAGGTGATGGGACCATACATTCCTAGCTGGGCAGGTCATGGTGGGTAGTCATGCCCCAGGCCTGTAACTTCTTTAGTGAAAGTCTCTCTTTGCCTTAAGAAAGCCCTGCCCATTGTTTCTGTGCGCCTAGGTTAACACACCTTTGAAATGTTTCTTTTCAGACCCCTTAAGTGAAACCACCTTCAAAACAGCATAATCTGAACTGTCCCGTAATCTGATCCCCGCCTTGCTGTCTCCCCGCTCCCTGCAGTCTTCCTTAGTTCCCTCCTTAGTTCCAGATGCACAAAAGCAGCTGCAAACTGTCATTCTGGGAAGCCTTTTCTCAGTCTGTTGAGATCTCGCTTCCTGGCATATCCTCTGTTTGGCTCAAATAAATTCTTACAGAAACTGTCTGCAGCCCTGGCTGGTGTGGCTCAGTTGGTCGGAGCATCGTCCCATACACCGAAAGGTCGTGGGTCCAATTCCCAGTCAGAGCACTAGCCCAGGTTGCGGGTTCGATCCTCGGTAGGGGCGTGTGCGGGAGGCAACCAATCGATGTTTGTGTCTCATATAGATATTTCTCTCTCTCTCTTCCTCTCACTCGAAAAGTCAATAAAAATATATCCTCGGGGGAGGATTTAGAAAAACCTGTCTGGTTTGGACATCTGTGTGCTCCTTGTACAGCGGCTGCCACACGACTGGGGGAAGAGCCAGACTAACTCCTTAACGCACGGAGCTGAAGAAGGCGTTAGTGGTTGGAGATGCCGTTTGCCCACTGAGCCGCATTCTGACCTTGGCCATGGCGTTCCATTCTCTCAGCACATCCCCATTTACCCTTGAGGACAGCACCGAGTTTTATACACCTACAGTGTCCCTGTTATGTACTAGGTGAGGCTGATGAAAGGCTGCTGACTGGACTGTGTTGACTGGATTGCTTTCACACAAAAGTTTTCACCTCAGGGTCCTTCTAAGGGGAATCCTCTCTTTCCTTGGCCCACTGCCTCTACTCTTTTCGTCTTCCACTTATAAAACTCCTACTCAGCCCTCAAAATCCATCTTTATGCCTCCAGGAGGTTTTCCATGGTCATCTCCTGTCCCATCCGAGATTTAACCACGGAGATGCCTTTCTACTTTGTGTCTCTCTGTTCAACTTATCACTGTATTGTGATATTTGAAAAATATTTGAAAAAATATGTTTCTCCCTGTGAACCAATTGAGGGTAGGAATTATATCTTAATTTCCTTTCTTTTTCAAGACCACATCTAGCATGGTGACAGCTTTAGTGCGAGCTCAGAGTTTGCTGAAAGAGTGAGTGAGCGAAGGAATGAATGGAGGGGGGTAGAGGAGCAGGAGGGCGGACAGGGGTGCACAGCGGCGACGGCTCCTCCCCTAGATACCTGTCAGGTAGGTCAGAGCTTCGAAGGGCACCTCCTTGTAGTCGTTCAGAAACATCTGGATCTGCCGCACGCTAATCCTCAGGTCGGACTCATTGAACTCGTAAGGGATGTTCCAGCCTGCGAGAGGGGGCGGGCGGAGGCATCAGGGCCGAGGCTCTCGGCGGCCGCTCAGGGCCGGCGCAGCAGAGCTGGACACCAACACGGGGCAAGAGCCGCGCTCAGGCACGAACGTAAGCCCGAGGCCAACTATTAGCCTCAGCAGTTTCTGCCAACATGTGAACCACTCGGCCTGAGAAAACGTCCATTCTAAAAGTCAGATCTCTTTACGGATCTCCCCATCTGTTAAAGAAGGTGCTAGTCCTGGGATCTGTGCAATGAGAATCACTCAGCTGGGCGGGGGGACTGCAGCAGCACACTGAGCCCCAATAACACCCAGGGTAGCTAGAGAGCAGCAGCACAACGGAGCCACCGCGCTCAGGCAGCTTTGAGAACCCCTCCTCCGGGTCGTGGGAGGACTGCGCGGTGCACGAAAGCAGGGCTGGATGGGACCTGTGCTGGACAGAGACGTTTCATCTCCTCCTAAACGTTGCATTCAAATAAAAAATAATAAAAATCACAAAATAATAAAATTTGTGTTCCAGCAAACAAAACACAACTGGGCAGTTGGTTGCAAGCCAAGCTGTTGCATGGATTTCGGGGCACTGGCATGGTGGGGAGCGGGGGTCTGAAAGGTAAGTCCCTGCAGCAGGTGCGTCCCCCTTGACTGTCTTGTCCCTGCTCCGCCCCGTGGAAGGGTCAGGTGGTCTGTGTAGCCACCCGACTGGGGTGTGTAGGCAGAAGGAAATGGAGAGGACATTCAGAGAGAATCACTGAGAGGCAATCTGCCTCCTTATCTAAAGAGAACGGCTGAGAATACCCCAAAGTGGGTCATTTTAAGGCTGTTGAACAGAATCAGCCTGTGGGTAAGAGAGGGGGAATCCAACCTTAAACCACAATGACCTGGGGTTGCTTTTTAGCAGTTTGATGATCGGCTCTAACAAGAGCATTAGGTCAGTATTTAGTAAAGTTAGGCCGTGGATTGGTACGTTAATAGAAAATATTATATTTCCTTTTCAAGAAGAAGCACAGACAATTATGTCCCAGCTGTATTTCTTCCTTGTTATGCACATGTCAAGAGAGCTACCTAAATGTCATAAATCACCTGATGGCAACTCCGGGGAGAACGGCCACTGTGCCTAAGGTGGGGAAATACACACCAGAGGCAGGAGCCTACATTTTCTCATGATCATGTCACTTCAGTTACTCTTCAGGGGCCCTCCGATTAGGAGCAACAGCTCTTTTCCTGACATGGACATTGACCTGGTTATAGGGCTGCCAGGTTCATTAAAAATACAGGACACTTGGTAAAAGTGTAATTTCAGATAAACAACAAGTCCTGTTTAGTGTAAGTATGTCCTAAAGATCACATGGAACATGCTTCTACCGTATTTTACGGACATCCCCCTCTGAGTGTAACCTGAGCACACACCTCATCTCTGCGACCTTCCCCCAGGCAGCCCAGGTGCGCTGTCATCTCCTACCAAGGGGCAGCTGTCATCTCCTACCTAGGGGTCCGAAGTTCCGCCTCTCTTGAACGATGGCGTGGAAGAAGCAAAGGCCGAACAGCAGCTTTTGCCAGATCTCTGGCTTTGTACAGCTTTGGAAGAACACGGGGTCCGAGATGGGGTCATTGAGGTAGGAGCGCAAGAGGTTGGCCCGGAGCCCTTTTGGAGGCTCGTTGGTCATTTTGATCCCATTCTGAAGGATGCTGACTGGAAACTTCTCTGATGGGTAGCTGGTCAGCCACAGCCTGGAAGGACAACAGACCCAACTACTTAGAGCAACGCAATAACTTAAATTGAAAAAACAGTAACAAAAAATAATAGCTCCCATTCATTAAGCACTGCTAGATGCTAAGAATTTAATATGTTCCTTCATTCACTTTGCCGTCACAGCCACCCGCAGTGGAGGGGTTTGCTATCCCTTCTTAGCAGCGAGGAAATGGAGGCTTGGAGATGTCAAGTGGGTGTTTCAAGTGAAATCAGGGCTCCCTGACTGTAAAGTCACTGTCCTAATCCCCATGCCCCAGTCCTCCCCCGCTGGACTGGCCAAGTGCTGTACCCTGCACCCAGGAGAGGCTGAAGTGAGCAAAGCATTGTTTCCAGCTTCCAGACACTCACAGCCTTGCTGCTGGGAGAGGAAATGGGGCAAGCAGGGGAGAAAAGACAAGCACACAGAATGCTATAGTACAAGGCACTGTAAAACCAAGGCCGCAGGGGGGAAGGGAAATGATGCCCATGGAAGGAAGAGGTTTCTGTTGGGGAGAGAAGTTGGCAAACCATGGCCAGGGAGCTGAATCCAGCGTGGCCTGTTTTTGCAAATAAAGTGTTTTAGGAACCCGGCTATGGCCCTTCATTTACATTCGTGCAGAGTTGCTCAGTTGCGACAGAGATAATATGGCCTGCAAAGTCTAAAATATTCCCCACCTGGCTCTTTATAGGGAAAGTTTGCTGACCTCTGTCATAGAGGAACGGCCTTTGAAACGGGCCTTGAAGGCGTAGAAGGTTTCTTCCTTTAAAATGTAAAAGCTTATCTATGCCCACAAAAAATGGGAACATAGGTAAAAGTATGTAGAAGGGAAAAATTACAATTTTACGACATAGGGGTTAACATTTTGGCATATTGTCCTGTAGGCCTTTTATTCATTTGTTTTTCCTACCCGAGCTCAGGTTACATACACACTGTGGCATCCTGTTTTGTTTCATTTTTGCAGGTTTTTGTTTGTTTTGCTGGACATTAGAGAGGTTTTTAACAGGTGGAGGGAAGGTCATTAAAGACACAGGACACAGGCTGAGCAACCACATGGAGGAGAGAAAGTCGGGATGAGGTAAGGCTTGGCGGGCAGTCTGCTGTGGTCCAGCCATAGGACTGAGAGAGGGGGGAAGAGGCCATAAGCTGGTGGCCTGAGGCCTGACTTTAGTCTGCAGATGGGTGATGTTTGATTCACGCCATGAAAACCAACACAATGCTCTAACATGTTTTTGAAGTAGTTGTCAACTTTTGAAAATCTAGGGCTTTCTTTTAAAATTCTAGATTTCTATGTACCCTTTAAAATAATTACGAAATCTGATCATAAGAGGCCTGCATTCCTGCATGGCAGCAGTCAGCTGGTATCAGGCAGGAACTGCTCTTCTCTACAGGGCATGTGCTTCTAGCTCACCGCAGTCCCCACCACTCCCTATTATGCCCAACACTGAGGCTGTCTGAGATGATTGCTACTGTCCTGTGGAAAGCAGAATATTTCTTGTGCTTAGTCTTCCTTACTCATTTATGTTATGTTCCTCGCTCCTGTAGTCCCTTGAGTTCATGACTTCTGGGTTAGGAACGCATTATAGAAGACCTTAAATATCAGCATGAATAATTTTTTCTTCATTGAGTGTGTCATTGATGGTCAATGAATCAATTCACCATCCCAAATCAAACAGAAGTCTTGAAACTAGTAGATCCCACTTAAACTCTTACATGAATCTTACCTGAGCCTTACATGAGTATAATAAACTACAGCCTTGCCTGGCTTTGTAAATAAACACCAAACACTTTCCTATTTTCAGGCAGACATGACTAAAATTAAAATACCCACCAAGCTCTGTTGGGTAGAACAAGAGTTGGCAAAGTTTCCCTGTAAAGGATCAAGTAAGTAGTAAATGTTACAGCCCTTGCAGGACCATGTGGTCTCTGCCACAATTACTTGCAGCATGAAAGCTGTCATAGATAATATATAAGTGAGCATGGCTGTGCTTCAATAAAACTTTATTTATGGACAATGAAATTTTAATTTCATATCATTTTGATGTGCCATGAAATATTATTCTTCTTTTGATTTTTTTCAACCATTTAAAAACGTAAAAACTATTCTTAGCTTATACACCATACAAGCAGTAGACTGGGTTTGGCCCATGAGCCATAGTTGGCTGACCCCTGCCTGCAATAAGAGAATCACTGAACATTTGAGTTGAAAGGGACTGTGAAGTCTGTTTCATCACTCTGCAAATGCAAAAACCAAGGCCCAGTGGCTAGGCTTTAAAGTTCACAAAAAACAAATAGCTGTGTCCAATGCTGATTAAAATTCCACGGAGCCCAAGAAACATAGGCTAGAGCAAGGACAATGGTGCCTAGATTACAGGTGAGATATTTTTAAAGACAAATAATTTTTAAAAATCGGATTTGCTGACATTTAATGTACCTTCCCAGACACATTTCCTACCACCTCCCCTCAACAACTTCTCACAGCATATGCCCCAGAGTCATAGAGTAACTTCTAAGTGTTTCCTTCACACGCATCTTTGCTTTACAAATGCTGTCCCCTCTGCCTAAAATGTCCTTCTTGGCAAACTCCTATTCATCTTTCAAAACCCCAGGCAAATGTCAGTTCTCCAGTTCTTCCCCGACTTTCCCTTCCCTTTTCTGTGCCCCATGGTTCTTCTTAGAACATGAACATTATTTATCTATGGGCTGCCTTCTGCTAGACTGAGAGCTTCTCAAGGGCAGAGCTGTGTCTTGTTCATTTTTGCCCTCCCTGCCACCAGCATGCTGCCTGGAGCTCGAGCTGGGGCCCAGAGACAGGCAGTGGTGGGGCAGAGTCTCACCTGAATCTGACGTTGGTGTTCTCAGGAACAATCACCTCTTCACAGATCTTCTCCAGAGCAGGCATCCAGCTTGTGGCCAGATGGCAGTTCTGTAAGACCACCCAGGTCCCATCTTTGATGGCAATGTTGACCATTTTGGCTGCAATAGGGCCTTGGCCTTGGCCAAGGGATATGATCTGTGTTTTGCTACCTCCCATGCCAACATCTTCAGCAAACTTCAGCAGGCCTGAGACCAGGAGGAAAAGGGGCTTTTAAAAGAGAACCGGCTAAGACCATATTAACAGTAACATCACAGGAGGGGTTGCGTTAAAATTCTGGGATCTGAAAGAAGCGCACTGGCTTCTGTTAATTATAAAATAAGCAAGTCTCTGGGGAAGTTTTAGACTTCTGGTAAGATGAAGAATGAAGATACTATTGATTCCTCTTTTGCTCTGAATACACAAACATTTCTTGCTTTTAAAAAAATTACAAAAACTAGAAAAAAACCAGAATTTGAAAGAAAGAAATTCCCAGGTGCCAAAAATAAAGAGGGAACTAAAACTAGAGAGGTGAGCACATAACCAAAGAACTAGGAACTGGGATTTAGAAATTTATTTTACTAGGAAAAACAGTGAAATTTCAAGTAAGTCTCTTCACTTCTCTCTCCCTCGGAAGTAGCGATGTTACTAGGTTCTGTGACTCCTACCAGAGATATTTTATGCATTTAAATCATGCATAAGCACTATTACGCTTACATGAATTGTAGAATGCTACATTTGCTTTTTACACTTAGAATTTTCCCCACATCAGTATATTTGTAAAGGCCATATCTTTTTCATGGGTACGTGGTATTTCGCCATTGGAAGTAACATACTTTATTTAACCAGTTTAGAGGTTGGCGTTTGTCCATGGGAGATGGGCATAACTTTGTACTCAAACAGGTGCTGGAACTGAGACTTTTTAAAAATAAATAAATAAATAAAGTTAGGATCCTCAAAGGGCTGCACCTTCATGTAGAGAAGGCCAGAAATCTGGTCACTGACTCAAGAAGCAATATGGAAGCTTGTCACTGGCTTGTAGCCTGGGTGGAAACAATAAAAACTCTCCAGTGAGAAATCAAAACACCCAGCCTATGCCAAAGGCGAGGAGGGGTATGAATTTGCAGGGCACCCTGTGGCGTGGGATTCCCAAGCTGAGAAATTCCCTTATACAACTGATCTGGAACTTGAACCCCCTGGAGCACTACTATTTGCATACGTAAAATTGTTCTGTTAAGACACTCCTAAAACTCAAGGTATATGAGATTCCCACAGAACAACACAAGCTTGCTGATTGTGAACACACAACAAAAAAGTACCAGCTATATGAGAAAATACACGGCCATAGGGACAGTCAGCACATATAATAAATGGGAGAATTAACACCCCAAGGATTACATATGGACTCTGCTGCGGGTTGAATTCTGTCCCCTCCAAATCCATATCTTGAAGTCCTAATTCCCAAGACCTCAGAATATGGCTGTATTTGGATATAGGGTCTTTAAAGAGGTAGTTAAATTAAAATGAGGTCATTAGGGTATGTCCTAATCCAACATGACTGGTGTCCTTCTAAGGAGAAGCCACTCAGAGAGAGAAGACCATGTGAAAACACAGGAAGAAGGTGTCATGAACAAGCCCAGGAGAGCGGCCTCAGAAGAAACCAACGCTGCAGACACCTTGAATTTGTACTTCTACTCTGCAGAACTGGGAGAAAATACATTTCTGTTGGTTAAGTCACCAGTCTTTGGTATTTGTTGTGGCAGCCCTAGCAGATTGATATAGCCTCGAAAAAAGACCATAAAAAAAACCAAAAACAACCACACATCTTAAAATCATTAAAGGAACACAAAGCTAATAAAATTCAGAGTTCTACAAAAAAAATATATATATACATGGATTTGGAAAAAAACAAAACTTTGAGAAATGGAAAGCATTGTTCCTGAAGACAATAACTCAAAGCACTGATTGTTTAAAAGAGCAGGTTAGACACAAAGAGAATTAGGGAACAGTCTAGTCTGCCAACAATGATCCACCCAGTAGTAATGGGCACCCCAGCACCCTGGTGTGGTTTCCAAATACCAGGAGCTTCTGAGAGAACTGGAGTTCCTTGCAGAAATGTTTGTACGAGATGATTCTGGAATATATGGAATCTCCACAGCAAGGCAGCTATCAAAAACTCCTGGGGTTACAGGAAAGGATATAGGCATGAAGGTCTCTCACAGGCCAGAGAGGAAATAATTTGAGCATCAGAAAGAACAGTGATGGCAGGGGAGTAAAATACCACCATATTTGAAACATCTGATATGTTAAAATCCATGCATTCACAATGGTACCAAATAATCTTACCGCATAAGTAAGTTTGGAGGTTACCAGGGCACAACTCATTCTGGAAGCTGCTAAATAGAGAATGAACCAAGCATTTTCCCTGCCAGTCCTTTTCAATCTATACTCACAGTAAAGCAAAGAGTTGACAAAGGAAAATTCTTTATGGAAGAGTTCTAGCTAATAAATGTGGAAGGAATGATAGAATTAAAATACCATCATTTTGCAGCCCCTAAGGAAATCATGGACCCGGGTAACGATTCCTAAGGCAGCGAAAACCATTAGGCCAGTGGTTCCAGTATTGGCTGCACGTCGGAATTACCCGAAAAGCTTTATAAAACACAACACAATGCCTGGGTCTCGCCCACAAAGATTTTAATTTAATTGGTGGAGGGTGTGGCCTTGGCATGGAGATTTTTCTTAAAGCTCTGTGCAGCCAAGATTGAGAACCATTACAGTGCATGATGGGAAACTTTCTAGGGGGGCCGGTGGAAGTGTGGGAGGGCGGGTCAGGTGGACAATGCTTGAGCCCACGGGTCAACCGTAATCAGAAAAAAATGGGCAGCCAGACGGCATGTGCGTCCCGGCCTGTGGTGTCTCCTGAGTTGTTGTTCGTGCTGAACCTGACCAAGCCTCCGGCACAGGGGAGAGGGAGCAGGCCTTGCGCACCGCTGGAGGCGAGTGGCCCGTCCTCTACCCACACGCCATCACTTTGCAGATCATATTCTGACCTTCCCCCATGTGTCTTCAGTCCTGGTTACTGCTAGTTTCTCTCACTTAAATCTGCCACAATAAGGACATAGAGAGAAAGAGCAAAGGTACGAGATGGGGGCCATAAATTGATCTTTGGCAGTAACATTTTGGCATAGGAACCTGGAAAGGGGACCAGTTCATATCAGCTGCCTCCGACCTCCGTTGAGGGGCGGGGTGCTGGCTTTTCCCCTGGGTCAGGATGCGCGTGAAACTCCTCAGCCTCACAGAACAGGTCAACCTTGTCATTGGCATTTGTGGTGCTCTTTCTTCATTCAGCTACAGAGAAAACTAAAGCTTTGCAATCCTCCAACAGAACAGAAGACTAATCTATTCCTGCCAACAACTCATACTCTTTAATAAGCACAGATGATTTCCGGAAAGATACACAAACTGGTAATAGTAGTTACTTCTGGGAGCATTAGGAGGAATATGTACCTTTCACTGAGTTTCCTAACCTCAGCACTACTGACATCTTGGGCCAGGTAATCCATTGTTGTGGGGCATCCTGCGCACAGTGGGATGTTCAGCAGCATCCTTGGCCTCTATCTACTAGATGCCAGTAGCACCCCCTAGTTGTGACAACAAAAATGTTTTCCCAGTTTGTCAAATGTCCCTTGAGGGGGCAAAATGGCTGTGGTTGAGCCACAGTCCTATACCTTGTGGCATTGTTTGATTTTTTAAAAATTATTACTCAGTATTAATTATTCAAAAAATTCAAAAATTAAAAGAGAGAAAAGCCTAGCTGAGAGACGTGATAGTGAGAAAAAATGATTTAAGACAAAGGTGACAAATTAGCAACCAGGCTAAATCTAGCCCCAGCTTGGCCCTCGCAACAGTTTTAAGAAAAATTTGAATGAGTTATTAAGGTGTAAAAATGGGTGATTTCCGCATTTCTTGTTTCTCTTGAAAAATGAGACGATCTGGCTCACATTACCAGAGGACTCAGTGCATGGGCACTGAGTAGCAGCTGCCCCTTTAGGTGGGAAAAGAAGCCTGCAGTCGCCCAGCCCCCTCTTGGCCTGTTCAATGCTCTGCCTTCAAAGCCATCTGAGTTCGAGACTCCTGCTACAAGGGACATACAGCTGTCATCCATGCACACGCTGGGCGCTTTATGTCCTTCACACTACATTCTACCCTTACCTGCCATTGGGTCTGCGCCGGGAGAGAGCACGAAAATGAGTGGCGTACAGCAGCTGGAGTCATTGTAGGACCCCTGGAGGTCAAACGTAGGGGCCTCAATGTACGCGTTGCCCATGTGCTCAGCAATGAACTGCCGGGTGGCTGGAATCATCTTGTCGGGCCGCAAACATCGGAGGACGGCCATCTTCTCCAGCCCTTGAAGGAACTTCCAAGACCCCGGGAAATCCTCCTCCTGGGGCCAGGCTGAGTCGTAGATGAGCTTCCACTCGCTGGCGTTTTGTTTGAAATGTTCCATCAGGCCTCTGAGCTTGGGCAAGGTGGACGCGCGCACCACCTCGGCCCACGCTTTCTCAGACAGCCACTCGGACGCTGGGTTGGGGAAGGGGTTGTCCAGGGCAATGCCTCCGGTGAGAAGAAAGTACCAGATTTCCTCGTTAATCTTCTTTTTCTCTTTCAAGATGCCGATGGTCAGCAGGAGCGAGAAAAGCAGCTTGTCCTTCTCGAACAGGGAGCGGCAGACGTTGTTGTAGATGCTGAGGGTGAAATGCTCGATGATGTACTCGATGCGCAGCTCCAGGTCCTCGCTCTTGCCGCTGTGGGCCAGGGAGTGCGTGTAGAGGTTGATGAACCACGTCAGGGAGTACTGGTACATCGGCTCGATGTTGGCCAGGTCGGAGATGCAGAAGAAGACGGTGGCCGAGTGCACGGCCACGGGCTTGTAGCCCAGCCGAGTCTCGTCGATCTGCGTTTCTGTCACGGAGGCAATTTTCTGTTTCTCGGAGATCTCTTCAGACAGCTCTTTGGAGGACGACAAGACTTTGATGGCAGTCTCGTCCTCGAGGATGTTGCCCTCGGACAGGGAGAGGACCTCCAAGATCTTATCTTCTATCTCCTTCAGCTGCTTTTTGTTCTCGGCACTTTCCACAATCAACTGGTTCTTCTTCTCTTCCAGCTCCGGCTTCTCCTTGGCAGCCACGATGCCCAGGAGCTGATCCTGGAGGCCCAAGGGGGTGATCATGAAGTTGAGGAGGCAGACTTTCACGGCGACTTCAGGGAGGTAATGCGGGTTCCTCAAGCGGGTCGTGATGTATAACTTGAAGTCCTTGGAGTATTCAATGATGTTTTCGCCCAGCCTCATGTATTCAACCCCTTGCTGCTTGAACGTGGACTTGAGCAAGATGGGTTCAATAAAGGCATCCAGCTCTTCTCCAACGTTTTCTAGTAAGACGGGGGTGCCAAACTGCAGAGCATTTTCCAGGGTCCTCACGTAGCTGCTGTCTGTGAACTTGGTGACAGACAGCTTATTCACTTTTTCCATGTTCTTGACCCACTTGTTGGCCTGGCCCTGAGGGTCGATCATCAAGGCCCAGCGTCTGGAGTTGGACACAATGATGCCATTGTCGATGGAGAAGGAGTCTACTGGCAGCCCAGCGATCTGCCAGGCGCGAATTTTTATGGGATCCCCTAATGTGTTGCTGAGACTGAAGTCACTGGAGCCGGGGATGATCCTCTCTTTACAGTGAGCCAACCACTGCTTTTGGCACGTGGCCCGATAATCCACTGTAAAAGCCCCCAGGTAAGCCACGGTCCCCGAGGACACCAACACATCCCCTGTCAGATTAATGTAGCGGATCCCCAGCTGCCGGGCAGCTTCCGTCCATCGGTCCTTCTCTCCCCCAAGACCGCTGATCAGCTTTTCTGCCCTGATCAGCTTTTCGGAGCAGATATGGATGTTTTCTTCCAAGGTCATTTTCTTGGCATTCGTCTCTTCAAAGTCATCGTTCAGGGCCTGGAGGCGGTCTTCCACCAGCTTCAGCTCTGCTCGCTTCTGGTTCAGCTTCTGCATCTGGGCACCCAGCTTCCCCTCAGCCTCCTTCAGCCGCTCCCGCTTGGGAGCCACCACCTTGGCCACGCGGTCGTACACCTCCATGGCCCTCACCCACTTGCACAGACCCTCGCAGGCAGATGACACATTTTTAATGACAGCTGGCTGGAAATCTGGATGGTCAATAAACCTTTCTCGGATCCGTTTCATGATCACCAGGGGGATATTGTCTTTGTCATATGTCTTAAGACTCTCCAGGAATTTCAGATCTCCAAGAATCTTTCTCGATACCCCCCAGTAATCTTCTATCATTTTCCCTGTTTGGGACGAGCAACAGAGATAAGACTATTATTAAGATGTTCTGCCTGACACTTAAAGCTTTGCAGTGACTACTCTTCAGATCTGGCAAAAAAATTCAAAGTCCTACAGAGAAAGGGCAGACAAAATACTCTGTATGATACCATAATGATGGACCCACCATTGTATATTTTGTCCAAACCCACAGAATGTACACCACCAAGGCAGGCGATCGTGTAAACTATGTATGGCCTTTGGGTGATTACGATGTGTTAGTGCAGGTTCATCATTTGTAAAAAATCTGGGGGGATGTTGACGATGGGGGAGGCTGTGCTTGTGTGGGGGCAGGCGAATATGGGAAATCTCTTTGATGTGAACTTAAAGCTACTTTAAAAATATAAAATCTAAATAAAAAAAGAAAAGTCTAAGCCCTTCACCATGGCTTGGGAGGCCCACCGACCTCACCCACCCCATCGCTGCCTTGTTCCTTGGACTTCAGTAACGAAGGACTTCAACCCCTTGATCCCTAGTGCTTCCCTACCACGAGCTGTGAATGCCTCTAGCTGGCTCCTGACCAGACTTGAGGCTCTTTTTTTTTTTTTTTTTAAGTGTTTTGTGTTTTTTTTTTTAATATATCTTTATTGATTTCAGAGAGAGGAAGAGAGAGAGATAGAAACATCAATGACGAGAGAGTCACTGATCGGCTGCAGCCCGCAACTCGGGCATGTGCCCTGACCGGGAATCGAACCCCGATCGCCTGGATCCTAGGTCGACGCTCAACCGCTGAGCCACGCCCGGCCAGGCCGAGGCTCATTTTTAAAGCCACCCTTCCCTAAGCCACAGAGAGGTTTCCCTAGATGACCCTCACTAAAGAGGGCCCCTCTGTCCCTCCCCCAGCATTTTCTTTCGTCTCAGCTGCTAGAACGCCCATTCCTTTTATAGCATTTATTTCAATCTGTGATTTTTTCTTACTTTTTATTGTCAGCCTCTCCCTCAAAGCTGTGAGCTCCAGCTGTATTTGCTATGCTCTGGCACAGTGCCTGAAACTCAGTCTTCAATTAGTACGTGCTGAATGAATGTTGCCTCTTATCCCAGCCATGGATGGAGAGGGCAAAAGAGCCAAGTCTGGGAGGTGGTTGGATGGAACCCGATGAGTCTTCCTTGTGAGAGAGTGGGGGAGGCCCGAGAGAAATCGAGGGTGAAAAAAGAAGCTTGCAACTGGCCAGAAGGCCATCCGTGACCTGCCCAGGAGTAAAGCAGGGTCCTATTCTCCTTAGCACCCATGCTGACAAAGGGCTGACTGGGTGAGCCCCTTCCTCATCCCAAGGCAGTGCTCCTTTTAAGGGTTGATGTGTTGAAAAGATTGGAGGTCTTTTTGGCTCATGGCACTGTAAATACTTGCCAAGCTCTGGCTCATCAAAAAAAGTGGTACTTGAGTCCTGGCTGAGTGGCTCAGTTGGTCAGAGAGCCATCCTGTACACCAAGAGGTGGGAGGTTCGATTCCTAGTCAGGGCACACACCTTGGTTGTAGGTTTGATCCCAGGTCGGACAATCAATCGATGTTTCTCTCTCACAGTGATCTCTCTCTCCCTCTCTCTCTCTCTCTCTCTCTCTCTCCCCCCTTTCTCTATCTCTTAAATCAATAACATCATCTTCGAGTGAGCATTAAAAAAAAAGTTGCACTTGAGACATTATATTAATTACAATAGGTCAAATGTGTCCTGTTCCTAATGCAAGCACAGCAATCAAACAAATATTTCCCATGAAGGTTTTTGACTGCCTTCAGGAAAATGACCTGCTCCATTTAAATTCAAGACGCCCCAAACGAACTCAATTGCTCTTGCTCCACTCCAATGTACTGGCTGAATCCTGCGGGTTAAGTGAACAATATATACAACTTGCTTTACTTTTGAAATAGAAAGGCGAACGATGGGTCCTGTGTGGATCATCAATGATCCACGAAGAGAACTGACTTTTCGGGCCTGGCCATGCTTTGTGCACCATCTCAACCCTGGCTGCACCTTCGACCACCCAGGAGTTTAAAAAAACTCTAATGCTCAGGCTATATCCCAGACCAATGGAATAGGGATCTTTACAGACCCCTAAGAGGGGGAGGGCTGAGGGCATGGGCTCCAGCCTTCTTTATACTCCCAGGGGGTTCTAGGCACAGTCAGAGTGGAGACCCACTGAACACACCTCAACTGCTGCCCTAAAGGATCCCCCTGTCGAGTCCACACCCTCCTTGTCCATTCCTGGTCCCCTCTGCATCTTCTTCATGGGGTTTATGGCCGAAAACCAGCCAGGAACCAGGGAGTGCTAACCAGTGGGAAGCAGAAGCCAGGATCCTTGTTCCACTCCAAGGCCCCTGACTTGATACGGAGATGCTACATATAACTCAGATTTTAAGGAGATCTAATATTCACCTATTAATGCTTCTAGCCTCACTTACACAAGGAGCTTTCCTCCCTCCCCTAGAAGCCTTGTCTCCCCTCCTCCCCTCCCCGGCTGCGCCTGCCTCCCTCGGCCTCCTCTACCGGCTCATGCTCCACCCCACCCCACCCCACCCCACCTCTCTCCTCACGGTGTCTTGGTCTCCTTGTCTCTGTCTCTCTTCCACTTGCTCTATGTTTGTGTGTCTCTGCGTCTGTCTCCATTTCTCTCTCACTCTCATCTCAGCCTTTGTGTCTCTGTCTTTGTTTCTCTTCACACCCCCATGTCTGCCTCGTGTTTCTCTATCTGACACTGTGTGCATCTCTCCCTCCCCACCCCCTCTCTGTCCCCCTCCTACTTCCTTTCCCTCCTGACCTCTCTCCGTTTGTTTTCTCTTTGTGCCTATGTGCGTGCACGTCATGTGTCTGCACATACGACCATGTGTGTACGTGTGTATGCATGTGCACATCCATGTGTGCACGTGGGCGCATGTGTCCATGTGCACGCGTGTGTGTGTATGCATCTAGATGTCTGGGTCTCCGATTCTTTCTCAGTATTAGTCTCTCTTGTTGCTCTGTCTCTGTCTCACTAGCTTTCGGTGGTTCTCTCTCTCTGTCCCTCTGTCTGTCTGTCTCCCTCGATCCTTCTGTTTCTCTCTCTCCCTCTGACCCCCACACTACTCTGTGTGTCGTTGCCCCACATCAGCCCCTTTGTCTCCAGGACCTTTATTTTTGTAATAATTTGCAGGCAGGAGCCTTGACTCAGCTCGGCCTCGCCTACAGATACCTGCATTTTCCTGGCTGGCGGAGAGGAGAGGGGATGGCAAAGATGCTCTGGGGAGCACCGACGCCCTGGTGCCTCTCTCATTTCCTCCAAGATTCCGCGCACTGCCCGGTGCTGGGGGGTACCTACCGCTGCCACTGGGGTCCGGCTTCCTCTCTGGTCTCAGCCCTTTCATGACACAAATGCTCTCCATGACTAGCTTGACGGGGCCTGGGGGGTTCTGCATCGACTTCACCAGTGAGATGTCCGCTGGGTTCAGGGTGTCGAGCGCAGCCAGTGCGGCCTCCAGTGCCGGCATGGCCTCTGCCAGGTCCCCCTCGCATTCGTCCTGCAGGCAGCACAGGGACAAAGGAGTGAGCGCCAGTGCCTGGCACCCGGGGGGCAGGGAGCAAAGCTCTGCTCCTGGAGAAAGCCGGGGAAGTGGGCAGAGGCATCCCTGCACCTCCATGCTTCCAGGAAGGCGGCCCGGAGCTCTGCGTGCAGGAAGGCCTGTGAGGCCCTTGGGGGCTGCAGCTTGGATGCCTTGGACATTTAAGAATTCACCTGGTTTGTGATCTTTAAAAAAAAAGTAAGCCTTTGATTTTTTTTTAACCCATTCCCAAGAGATCTATGCAGTGGGTGACTTCACACCCACTGATCAGGATGGGCTGAGAGAGGAAGGGTGAGGCTCCAGGGGTGAGTGACAGACGGGAGGAGCCAGCACAAGTTGAGGGAAGAACAGGCGTGAGGCGTGGGAGAGGGGCGGGGACGCACTGCAGGGGCAGGGTCAGGGACGGGCGAAGCTTGGGGCTGGGCAGGAATTTAAGGCCAGAGTTTAAGAATGAAGAACAGGGATAGAGATTGGAGCTGATAGTGAAATCCAGGAAGAGACATTATTTCTTCATTTGAAAACAGAATTAGCTCGGCCGGCGTGGTTCAGCGGTTGAGCATCGACCTAGGATCCCGGAGATTGGGGTTCAATTTCTGGCCAGGGCACATGCCCAGGTTGCGGGCTCGATCCCTGGTGGGGGCGTGCAGGAGGCAGCCCATCAATGACTCTCTCATCATTGATGTTTCTCCCTCTCCCTCTCCCTTCCTCTTTCTGAAATCAATAAAGACATTTAAAAAAAAACACCAAAAAAACAAAACAAAATTAACACAATGAAATATTGTTCAGCCATAAAAAACACTGATTCATGTAATAACACAGATAAGCCTTGAAAACATTATGCTGAGTGACAGAAGCCAGACACAAAAACGCCAGCTGCCACATGATCCCATTTACATGAAATGTGCAGCAAAGAAAATTCCATGGAGGCCGAAAGTAGCTTAGTGGCCGCCAGGGGCTGGGGAGAGGGCAGGGTGGGGAGGGGCTGCTGATGGGTTTCCTTTTGGGGTGATGAAAATATTCTGGAATTAAATAATGCTGATGGTTGTACAACTGTGTGAAAATACTAAAACCGCGGAACTGCGCGATTTAAAAGGGTGAATCTTAACGGTATGTGAATTACATCTCAATTTAAAAAAAGAAAGCTTAACATTGTAAGACTTTTAGAACAGGAAGGGATCTTACAGATGAGTTAGAGGTCCAATTACTAAATCCGAAAAAACAAAAGGAAGAAAAGAAAAAAACCCAAGATTTCATGAAGCAAAATGAGTCAGCTCAGGCCCCACAGCTGGCCATTCAGGGAGCCGAGCTCCAACCCTGAGCTGCTGGCCTCTCATGCAGCCCAAGGGGGGGTCACCCAGCCGCGAGGGAAGCGAACTCCAGGAGACGACGTCAATCCTGGGACAGAGCAGCAAGGGTTGAAGTCTATGTCCTGTAGGTTTATTGTGATAGGCAAACAGGACACGGGTGGTCCTGCTTTCGTGCATGGATGTGTGCGTGCACACGTACACATGTCCGGGGGGGTGTATCATGGCTTCTTTATTTTAGGTTTTCTGCTCTTCTTAGAAACTTACAGCAATGTTTTATTTAGCTTCATTATATTCAAACAACCCCCCACCCCCAAAATGCGCCATGTCAGATGTCCCCAGCATCAGAATGAATGGCTCCGTCCACGGGCCACTCGGTTTGGCCCACTTCAGCCGTAGGATGTGCACCAGGGTGGGAGGCAAGAGGGGGAAGAACTAAAACCAGTCCCTGCGCTTCTCACAGTGGCAGCAGAGGATACCAAAGGCATCGATGGGACCACAGCTTTGGCTTCTCGGTGGACTCCCACCATCCCAAGCGCTCATGGCTTCGTGTTATCCATAGTTCCGAGTCCCTCTCTTAGAACCGGCTAGACACCTCGGGGCCCACACTCCTGCTTCGGGTGGCCTGGTGGCTCGGCTCCTTCCCACAGGGTCAAGGCCTGGGTCCGCAGGCTTGTTTGTCAGGTGACTCAAACACGCTCTGATTGTGACATTACCTGTCACGGTGATTTCCAGCCCTGAGAGCATTTGGGGTGTACTCCTCTCCAGGCCCACACCCAGAGATTCTGATTCACTCAGTTTGGGTGGGGTCAGGGCACCTGCATTTTAAACTCCAAAGGTGATTCCGCCTCACAGCTCTGTCAAGAAAGTCCAGTTTACACTTTTGAAATACTGAAAACCAGGCAGGAAGCAATAGGCTTCAGTGCTCAAGAGGAGGTGGCACTTGATGGGTGAAACACCTCCTTAAGATGGTCATTAAAATTATTGTATGACATTCTGGAAAAAACATTTGTAATATGATGGTAAGAAAATTTCAAAATCCCAATGCACATTGCAACCATGCTATGACTGCAACAGCAAAGCTATCCCCGGGTACAGATTGGACTGGAAGGAAAATCGGAAAAGCAAAGGGTTAAAGTTCACTTCTTTTTGTTGTTGTTGCATATCCTCACTGGACGATATTTTTCCATTAATTTTTAGAGAGAGTGGAAGGGAGGGAGTGAGGGGGAGAGGGAGAGAAACACACACACACATTGATTGGCTGCCTCCCAAATGTGCCCTGACTGGGAATCAAACTTGAGACCCTTGGGTGCATGGGCCGATGCTCTACCACTGACCCATTCTGGTCAGGCCTAAAGTTGACTTTTTAAAAATTCCTTTGCCCTAGCCAGTTTTGCTTAGTGGTTAGAGCATCGGCCAGTGGACTGAAGGGTCCTGGGTTCGATTCCAGCCAAGGGCATGTACCTGGGTTGCAAGCTCCATCCTTGGCCTTGGTCAGGTGGGTGCAGGAGGCAACCAACTGATATGTCTCTCTCTCTCTCCCTCCCTTCCACTCTCTCTGAAAAGCAATGGAAAAAAATATCCTCAGGTGAGGATTTAAAAAAAATTCCTTCATCTGTGTTATTACTGCTAAGTTATTTGTTTTTATGATAAAAAAATTACTATTAAAAATGGCCCCTGTAGTTGGGTGGGGTTGTGTGAGAGACATGAGCACAGTGCATGCTGATGCAATGTAACCCTCTCGGCAGTGACTCTGGCATCATTTATCATCCTCATTAGGGAAAAAATGATCCATTAACTTCAAAAGAATCGACCAATTTAAGCTGTACTTGTGAAGCCAGTGTTGGGGCCTGAATCTTATCAGCCAGTCCCCTCACCTCCTGGTGTGGATCCCACGCTGGGTGCCCTCCCAGGTCGTCTCCTTTTGAGGGTGTGAGGACATTAGCGGAAATCAGTGGTCCTGGAGGTGTAGCCCTTGAGGTTCAGAAAGGATTTGGCTCCACACAAAAGCCTCAGGGAAACTCAGAGCCAGCACAGATTCCTTCTCCTCCTGGACAGTCTCTTCCCCTCCGGACTCACCTCCGGGATGTCACTCCCAGTCCGGGGACAGGATGGCAGAGCCTTGGACCTCACCCTTCACAGTGAAACCAGGAAGGAGTGTGCCTAGTCCTCGCCTTGTAAACCTCTCATGTCCCTCCTGCTCCAGTGGCTTCTGTTCCCCTCTCACACTGTAGAGCAGAACCCTGGCGGTGAGGTGCCCACGTGTGGTGACAGGCTGGCCTTCACCAAACAGGTAAGTCCGATTGGTACCCGGTAAAGAACAACTGTTTTGGGGAATAGCTAACATGGGCCATCAAGCTCTGACTTTGTGCTGGACACGTTAAAGCTTTACGTGTTTTCTCGTATTATCCCCAGATGAGGAATCTGAGCAAATATTGAGCCCTGATGTGCCCGATTCTAGAATAAAACCATGGAGGAGCTGCACATGTGCCTCCTGGGGCCAGGCCAGCAGTGCATGCGTGGGAAGTGGGCTGGCTGGGGCTTGTGGACGGGACACACACAGGGCAGCACAGTCCCAGGCCACTGACGGCGGAAACCCAGGAAAACAGGTCCCATGTCGCCAGATGTTTGAGTTTTGTCCTCAGAAAAGCTGAAACTTTAAAAATTTTACTTGAAATCTCTTGATTTTTAAAAGTTGATAATTATTCCAAGATTTTTTTAAAAGTGTATGTCAGTGTATATGTGCTTCTTCTGGAATCATGGTCAGATGCAAGGGCTTTGGGATCAGAGAGAGCTCTGGGTTTGAATCCTGCTTCAGTCACCTGGTAGCTTTGTGACCTTGGACAAGTGGTTTAAGTTCCGAGGCCACGATTTCCTCATCTGCAGACAGGGAGTGATGCCGCTTCCCTCGCTGGGCTCTTAGATGAAAAAGTAACGCAGACCAGAAAGAGGGGGCTACGGTCTCGGCGAGGGAAGGAATTCCCTGTCCCGTTCACTCCGTTTCCCCACCGCCTGGGAAAGCACCGGCACATAACGGGTGTTCAATGAACACTTGCTAAGTGAAGGCGTACGGGAGAAATCACCACGGCGCTTCCAAGTAGTCGCTGTTATTACCATCTTGCCGTAAAACGGCCAATCACCTGCTGGACCGCGGTTCTTGGTGCCCAGTGGTCACGGTCTTTTATGGTCCCACTGGCTTGCTACCTGTGCTTCACATTCATTGTGTGACTCTGAGACCAGGGACTGGATCCAAGGGAATCTACGAGAGGCCAGGTCTCGGGACTCGCTGGAGAGAAGCCAGTCTGAAAGCCCTGTCCTTTTCTAGAAAGTGCCTCATTATTTATTTATCCTAGAAGCCAGACACAGGCTACTTCTTGTTCAAGCTTCTATTGGAAGAATGGCCAAAAGAATTTCCTAACTGCTCATTTGGAGCATAGGGACAAGTATCTTAAACTATGTGCCATGCCCCCTGGATTCCACTCCCACCAGCTCGCTGTGCAGCTCTGGAAGGTGGTTTCACCCAGCGGCGAGCCTCCATGCTGCTGACTTTCAGATATTGTTCCCTGTCATTCCTACGTCCAAGGCAGTTGTACTACTTTAATGGAATCATGTAGCTGAAAGTGCTTTGAGAAATATATAACATCGCATGACTGTAAGGCAGGTTTGCTTCTAATAGCTTCTAATAGCTTTTCTTCTAGTAGGAGAAGCCTGTCCCAGGACCTTCAAATGGAGTACTATAGGTTCTATCACCTGCCATTCAACTAATGTTCATTCCACCCCTATGACACGCCAGGCACATCTGAGCAAAACCATGATGGAGGAGAGAGAGATATCCAATCTGGATTGGAAGAGCGTTCTAGGCAGAGGAAACAGCCCGTGTAAGGGCCCTGGGGTGGGAGTGTGCCTTGCTTTTTTGTTTTTAATATGTTTTTATAGATTTCAGAGAGAGGAAAGGAAAGGTAGACAGAGATAGAAACATTGATGAGAGAATCATTACTCAGCTGCCTCCTGCACGCCCCCTGCTGGGTATCGAGCCTGCAACCCAGGCATGCGCCCTGACCAGGAATCGAACCATGACCTCCAGGTCCATGGGTCGACACTCGACCACGGAGCCATGCCAGCCCGGCTGCCTTGTGTTATGTAAAGAACATCTGGAAGGCCAGCATGGCCAGAGCAGAGTGAGCGAGAGGAAAGTCACAGAGATGAGGTTAGGTCATATTGGGTCTTGTAGGCCTTGACTCTGAGGGAGACAAAGAATGTCTGAAAAAAGAGACTGCTTCCTGGAGACTGCCAGGGGTCAGGAAGACTTACTTGCTCATCACATCCCCGCTGTGCCCTGCTGGGAAAGTCACCTCCCCTTTTCAAGTCTCACTCTTCCCATCTGCAAGACGGGCGTGACCACACACGTTTGCAGAACTGTGCTGGCCCTAGTGAAGGCACTGGCTCCCCCTTCCTCCCAGCCATCTGTACCTTGATGCCCTGAGCAACGGCAGCAGAAGCATTGGCTTCTTTTTCATCCGCCTGCACCATAAGTTTCTTGGCATCGGCTTCTCTCGTCTCCTCTTCAATTTTCACCATCATATTGGCAGTCTCCTCAGACGTCTGGATGAGTTGGGGTTGGAGGGCGGTCAGTTCTACTTGCATGACTGCCACCTAGCAAGGAGACAGAGCGTTATGTCGATGCTGAAACAGCACGGTGGCAGGGTTTGAAACCATTCTCCAACCTGCGTAATGCAGAAGGTTGATTTGAACACGGGATCTATTTGTTGGCTGGAGTTGACCTCTTTGATCTTCAGTACTTAGTAACTGAGTTTACACTACGTGTTGTAGTTAATGAGCACAGTGCTCACCACTGGACATACAATGATAAACGGAAAGCTTTTAAAAAAGGTATTCCTCCTTGTTGAGCCTACATTCTAGTGTTGGGGGCAGAGAGAGGTAGAACAAAAGCAAGTTAGGGGGAAAAAAAATCTACATTTTTAATTTATTTACTGATTTGAGAAAGAGGAATGCAGGGGGAGAGAAAGAAACAGATTTTGTTGTTCCACCTTTTTATGCATTTGCTGGTTGTTTCTTGTATGGGCCAAGATCGGGATTGAACCTGCAACCTTGGCATATCAGGATGAAGCTCTAATCAACTGAGCTACCGGGCCAGGAAAAGCCTACATTTTTTTTTTTTTTTTTTTTTAAGTCTGTGAAGGAAACATATATGGCTGGATACTTGGGATAGAAGGAACTTTCAAGGCCTTTTTTTCCAACAGTGATGTTCTCTTAAACATTCTGTCAAGTAATTTTCTGGCCACTGTTTGAACACCTCTAGTGNGCTGGATACTTGGGATAGAAGGAACTTTCAAGGCCATTTTTTCCAACAGTGATGTTCTCGTAAACATTCTGTCAAGTAATTTTCTGGCCACTGTTTGAACACCTCTAGTGATAGGAAGCCCCCCACCTCTGAGGGAAGGTGGGGCACTTTTCGGACCACTCAATGCGTTAGATGTTCCTGATGAAGACCTAGAATTTACCCCCACACAGTTTCACCCACTGGTCCTGATTCTGCTTCCTAAGGTCGCTCAGACACTTGTTTGGAGATGGTTTCAGGACCTTGCACCCACTGCCCTGCAAGCCCAGGGGAGAGAAGCCCAGAGCACTGGCCTGGCTCTGACACAGGCTCTGGGTCATGCACATCTGACTTTCAGTTCTGCCCGACCTCTTGAGAAACCTACTTACTAAGCTGCGTGACTGTGGGCAAGTCACTTGGCCTCATTGCGTCTTGGTTTCTCTGAGTGAAACTTTCCTATACGCAGCACTGAGCATGTGGTAGGGCTCAAGGAATGTTAACTGGCACCTTCATCCTCTGTCTCTTACAAGCAAAGGACCCCGAGTTGAACCCAGCACCCCCAGGAACAGAGCAACGAAGGATACCCCTCATGTCTCTCCCACCCCTGTGCTGCAGTGTTCGTGCATTTGCTGTGCTCAGCAACAGGACAAACCTACTGTAAATCACTCAGTTGTTTCAGATCTTTATCGGTGTTGAAAATTCCTGTCTTAATGTGGCTCTCATTTTAGATGGCTTGTCAAGATGGCTTGTCCCAGCACAAATGAATTACTAATTCATAGGCCAGGCATTCTGTACTGTGTCAGCTCTTTTAATCTCCATAATAGCCCTACAGAGACTGTTATCACCTATTTAACAGAAGAGGAAACTGAGGCCCCCAAGAGGTTCAAAGTTCTATAGCTGGTAAGTTGTGGAGCCGGAATTGGAGGCCAGGACTATCTGACTCTAGGATAACTACTGCCTTACTCTGCCTAGTTCCCCTCTGACAGTATCCAGGCCAGGGTAAGGGTAAGGCAAGTGAGGCACTCACCCTGGGCACAAAATTTAAGGGGCACCAAAAAATTAGTACTCAAGATAAATAGTATTTAATTGCAATATTTTAAGTAAAAATTAATGCAAAAAATCCATGGTGAACAAAATAGCAAAATCTTGATTAAAGATAACTCCATAGGCTGGGTTTAGGCTGAAGCAAGTGAGGGAGTTCTGCAAATGCAGCTCAGATGCCATCTGCATTGGGCGCCCTCTGAATGCTGCATCTGAACAAGAGGCTCCCTGTGTCCGCCTGCTCCTGGGCCTCTCTGTCCCTGGTCTACTTTGGCAGTGCTCACCTGGGAAGCTGCGAAGTCGAGTTTCTGCAGGCCAGTCAGGTAGCGGTTCCTCATCATATCAACCTCTTGCCTCTTGCTATTCAAGAGTGTCTTGAAGGTTAGGATCAACTCGAGGTAGGAGGTGGGGGTGACATAGTTGTGTCTGCGAAGAGTGTTGTAATAATCGAGCGACAGTTCCTTCACGCTCTCCTGGAAATATTTGCACATGGAGATGACCCTGCCAAGGCATGAAAGTGGTCAGGCAGGCCCGAGGCACATGCACGGTTGTTACAGGTGGGAGGATGTTTGAAGGCACACTGAGTGTGGCCCGCGGAATCCCGAATTCTCCGAAGCAGGTCAACAGAGCCGCCAGGAGGGTTGGGGAGGTAGATATTCTTCCTAGAATGATCTTTGACCAGGTAATTTCTATCTCTGATCCCTCTGCTGTATCACCAATGCTTGGGCAGGAGTTCTTACCCTCAGGCAGTCTGGTAAAGCACCTGGACTTTGCAGAATAATGTTTTCAAATACAGAAAGGAAACCAGGATTACACAGGAAAACAATTATGTTGAAATAGAGTTTTCAAAGTATTTTAAAAGCCAAATTTGTTTTATAGTCACATATGTGCTTTTTATCAATGCATTAAATTAGGGTCAGCAAACTTTTTCTGGAAAGGGCCAGAGGGTAAATATTTTTGGCTCTGTGGGCTACATGATCTCTGTAGCAACTACTCAACTCTGCCGTTGTAGTGTGAAAAAAGTGGCATGGTTCCAATAAAAATTAATTTACAAAAAACAGGCTGTAAACTGAACGTGGCCTATGTATGAATCATAGTTTGCCGACTGCGGCATTAAATAAAATTGGGCAGCAGGCCTGAAAGCTACCATACTTCTGAAGGAAATGTCTGTACCGATTAAATGAGTTGTGGGAAAAAAAACCCCACATGATTTCTATGGATAACAAAGTCACAGTCCTGCTAATCCTACTGGGTTTATTGCCTACATTCATCATTTAAGAAAATGCAAAATACCAGCTGGATGTGAGAATGAATATGTAATTATCCCCCATTCATATTCACTGACCCCCTGAATTCTATTCGTGGGCCTTACAGACCCAGGTTAAGGGCTTTCTGGCCTACAGAACAAAGTTCAAAGTTCAAAGTTCTTAAGACAGAACTTTCTGAACCCTGCCTGCTCCATTCATCCATTTATTCAGCAGTCCAGGCATCTGCTCAGCACTAAGGACACACAGGCAGACAGGCAGGTGCACTGCCCCTGCCTCCATGGGGCACCCAGGGGGGTTGACATGCTCATCTCTTCCCTTACTCTAGCCTTTCTTTTAGTTTTTGTGTACCTGTGCTTTGTACATCAAAGAGAACATTTCCTTTATGCTCATAAGAATCCATTCCGTGCCCTTGCAGTGGCGGTGACACTGCCCAGTTGAGAGTGATAGCTCTAAGACTACTGAAATAACTACATTATTATATTCAGGCTCTTGCAGCTGTGACAACAGGACATCTCCAGGACAGTTCTGAACAGTAAACTTATATTCTTTTTCAGAAAAAGTGTTTTATTAAATATCTAATGAAATGTCATTTAAAAATATAAGACTTTTATACCTAAATTGAGAAATCTTAAAACAACAACAAGAATAGAGCCAATATCTGGATTTTCAATTTGGAATGTGTGGTTGGGATACTAAGATGCAGCTGACACTTACTCTGCCCGAATATTGTCATCAAGTTCCACATCTTCCAGAAATTTGTTAGCCACCAACTCCAGAGCATCTGTGGGCCAGGACTGGAACCAATCAATCGTACAGCAATTGATGAGTGAAGGGAACATCCTCAGGCGGTTCCGAAAGGCATCCCCAATGGGGCTCATGGCTAATGAGAAACAGACCTTGTCAGTTCCCTTCCTCCAAGGAGGCCCAAGGCAGCAGGCAGGTCTCACCAAGGATTCTGGTGGGGTAGGGAGGTCATGCCTCCTGTTGTACCCCAGGGCTGTAACCGGGACAGTCATGATGAGTGCCTGGGAAGCAGGGGGGAGTCATGGGATATTTTCGTGAAGTTCTGTGATGGGAATTCAGTGATCGGTCTCCCATACCATTATTGTCCCTTCCAGATCCTTAGGGTCCCTTTGCCAGAGTGGCTTGAGCCCTATGAGCCACTTGCCATGGATGCCTCAAACGTAGCTGCTTACAGAAGTCTGGGGGCATCAGCTTATCTCTGACCCCATCCAGCCACAAATTTGGGAGTCTATACCCCAAATGTCATTCATTTTTTATTTGGACTCAAGGTGGTAAAGAAAGTGTGATGCACAGGTAGATATGAGGAGGTCAGTGTGGCTAAAGAAGAAAGAGAGAAGGGGAAGCTTGGTTTGAGACCAGAGTGGAAAGGATACAAGGACAATCTGGTAGGTGGCCTTATAAAACCATAGGTGAGGAATTTGGGTCTTCATCCTAATAGAAAGCAATTTAAGTGTTTTAACTTGTGTGTGTGTGTGTGTGTGTGTGTGTGTGCACACAATGATCATATCTGCACTACATGAGAAAAAACCCATCCTGGCTCAGTGGAACAGAAAGGCCTGGAATGGACAAGAGTGGACATAGAGAGAATAGCGAGAAGGCCGCAGAGGTGAGGTCCGGGAGAGAGAACAGCGCTTAGCCAATGTGAAGGTGGCGGCGATGGAGATGAGTGGGAGAATGTGACAGAGCACAGAGGTAGAAAATGACAGGACACAGTAACAAGAGAGATGGTGATCACAACGCCTAGGTGTCTGGATGGCTTGGAAATGCCATTGACAGGGAGAAGACCTCCACGTGTTGTTCTGTGAGGTCACCAGGGTAATGTACTAAAAGAAAGGAGAGGGCTCAGAGAAGAATTCAGAGGATTGAGGAGAGTGCAACAGGGCTGAAATAGTTGTTCAGAGGAGTGGAAGTTCACACAGAAATCCCAGGCACCGATCCCTGGACAAGCGCCGCGGCTGGATCATCCTCAGACCACTGTCAGAGGCCTGGGCGCACGGCACTCAGGAGACCCCAAAACAGCCAGAGGAAGAGGGAAGACTGGGTTTGCTCCTTTCTTACCGAGGACAATGTGAAGGTTCTTTTTCACCCTCTCGATGAAGTAGTTATACATAGAAAGAGGAGTGACTTCGATCTTCTCGCCCGCCGTCCTGGCCGCCGTTTGCATCTTCTCCACGAGGTCAGCCTTCTCGTCAGCAGGGAAGATGTTGGGCACGTCGCCTGTGTTCAGAAGCATGTTGATGTCCTCAACGAACGACTCATCCTTGATCTGGTTGTCAGCAAAAAGGAACACAGTGCTCTTGGTGGCCACACCCACCTGCAGCATGATCTTCTTCAGGTCCTCCCGCCAGTCGGAGTTTGAGTAGTTCTTAGTGATCTCGATCTGGTACAGCTCGTACGAGTTCATGAACGTGGACAGTTTGCTGACACTCTGCCGCCCGCTGCCCCCAATGCCCACCAGGAGCAAGTGGCCTTTGCTCTGCTTCAGGACCCTGCAGATCCGGGAGATATGCTCGATGGCGAACCTGAACATGACCAGGGACATGGGGGCCTTGCTGACGTTGTTGAACTCCCCCAGGTAGTACTCCATGACCACTGTGAGCTGTTTCAGGTCAGTGATCTCATCGTAGATTTTGGGTTCACTTTCTGGTTTGAGGTAGTCTCCAAAAAAGAGGCTGTGGATATTATCATCGGTAATCTTTCCGGTGGGTGACAGGTGGATAAGGACCTGTGGGAAAGACGAGTCTCAGCCAGGCGCTTAGCCTGCGGCCCACCTGGGAGGGCAGCAGGAGGCAGAGAGGAAGGGAACGGGAGGGAGCTGGTTTCCTTCCAGCACACTCTTCAAAGTCACGGCTCATTAACAGTTTAAAAAGACAAAACCAACTATCACATGTGGATCTGATGGTGGCAAAGACTACGATGGAAGGACATTTGGGAAAAGAGTGTGAAAGCGAGGGTCAATCTGCTTGCTAAGTAGGTAAAACATTGGTGGTCAGTCTGTAAGATCCCCCAACGGAGGTGGGCAAAGGATGACACTACTGTTTAAAGCACTTGCTCTGTCACTAAAGACAGGGACAGGGGCTTCCCCTGGCTCGCCCCCTGTGCCTAGAGTAGGAATGTTTTCGATGCTTCCTTCTCCTGCATCACACTTGGTGGTGCTTCTGCACCTGGTCTCTGGCTGCAATGCGAAAATACTTTTGTAGTTTTTCTATGGAGAAATCACAACTTCTTAAACACAGGTAGAACTAGCCCTGGCTAGTGTGGCTCAGTTGGTTGGAGCATTGTTCGTGCACCGAAAGGCGGAGGGTTCGATTCCCCGTCAGGGCACGTGTTATGTTGCGGGTTCCATCCCTGGTTGGAGTGCGCACAACAGGCAACCGATTGACGTTTCTCTGTCTCTCTCCCTTCCCTTCTCTCTAAAATCAATAAACATATCCTCAAGTGAGGATTAAAAAAAAACAGAGGTAGAACTAGATGATTCTTAAAACAACTTTTCTTAAATGAAATGGAAAAGAGAAAATATTTATGAATGGGAAACCATGACAATCTTTCACTTGGGTTTACCAGGGCCTCAATCAAACCATGAAAATCCATGATTCATTTCTCAGCTCACAAATTAATGTGACCCTGAAAATGTACAAACAACATCATCATATAGCCAATCACTCTGAATGGTTCCAGCTCTGTAAGTTACCAGGGAAGAGGAGCACATTGGGCGCAGTGGTGTATCACCACATCAAGGGACTGTGGCTCAATGCTGTTACTTGAGATTCAGAGAGCAGGGCTGAGAGTCCCCATAGGAAGGGAGCCTGAACTCCGAGACGAACAAAGTCAAACATTTCTGAGGCCAAGTGACCACAGGGTCTGGCTGACCTTCTCCATGGTGTGCTTGAAGCAGTTAGAGGTGGTTTCCTTCACCATGTTGAAGAAGACCTGTCTGTCCTCATCGTCGATCAGACGGTCATAGAAGACCCGATAAATCTCATGGATCCAAAGTCGGACAAGCTTTTCCACATCCTGAAAATCCAGAGGTGATTATTTGAATGAGTGGAAGAGTGTGCTTGAGGTGGCAATTCTCAAATAGTTTCTAAATCCTGCGGTTTATGTGAGATTGAAACAAGATAATGCTTACAAAATGTTGGACACCATGCCTAGCACAGAGTCAATGCTTATAGAAGTTAGCTATGACTATTAGGATGGTGCTGAATGATCTTGGTTAACAGAAACGACAGTGGCTGACCTGCAGATGGGTGTGAGGACAGAGCAGCACCCCTTGGATCACCCGCGAGAAGTCCCGCAGGTTAAAGACGTAATGTGACTTGGTGGGAGTTGGCAAGAAATTCTCCACTGCAGCTTTGTAAATTGTCATAGTAGCCTGCACCAGCATCTTTCCATACCTTGGGAGGAAGAAGGTAGACCAGTCAAGGAGGGGCCAGATCTGAGGACCCCAGGCCAACATCCTGGAAGACACAGGAACCTCTTACCTTAAGAATATCACGTCGAACCCTTTCCCAAAATGCCAGTCAGCAATTGAAGTAAAAATCTTGGTTAAAATGTCATCCTCAAAGGCGTTGATGGAAATGACATTTAGATGGCGGGTGAATCGCCCTGGAAAACACGTGCGCACACTCTTACTTCTTGGGCCTAGTGAGTCTGTGACATGGGGGTTGGTTTTCCCTCTGCCTTAATACTCCAGAGCTGTGCTGTCCAATATGGCAGCCTCTAGCCACATGCGGCTATTTAAACTTAAGTTAATGAATAATAAATAACATTACAGATTGATTTTCTCAGTCTCACTCATCACATTTCAAGTGCTCAGAGTAACATGTGGAGAGTTTGCTGCCACACTGCGTGGTGCAGTCACAGAACATCCTCCAGGACTGCAGAAGTCTGGGAACAGTGCTAGTGTAGCGCTCAAGCTTGTTTTTAAAATACAAAGGCACTATGTGATCATTGTACAATAGTCAAACAATCAGAAATATTTTTATAGAAAGGGAGCATCGCCTTTCATTTACCTCCTACATACCAAGTCCATTCTTCCCCCTAAATTAACTGCTATTAATTTGGTATCCTTACGTACCTACATTTGTCTAATATTAGGTATCTATATATTTATACCTATATCTATATATCGGCTTCATTGAGATATAATTCATAGTCATTTTGATCATCTGAAACCCATTTTCTAGTAGATTCCTAAGAAAGGGCTTATGAAAAAAATCTCTGAGTTCCTGCATGTTGACGACAGTTTTGCTTTTATACTTAAAGGTCAGCTTTGCTGGCTATAAAATTCTTGACTTTCATTTTATTCCCTTGAGTATCTTAAACGTTATTCTATTTTCTTATGGCAGAAAGCATTGCAGTTGAAAAGTCTTGAGATAATCTAACTTTATTTCTCTTATAAGTCACGTGCTCTTTTTGCTCAAATGCCTAAAAGATTTTTTCTTTTTCTTTGATGCCCAATACTTATTCTAGTGTATGTCTTGATAGTGATCCCTTTGAGTCTGTAGTCTTAGGTACATGGTATAGCAAATACAATCACCCTGCCCATTTTTACCACTGAGAAAGTCACAGAATCTGAAGTCTGGAAATGGTANATCACGTCGAACCCTTTCCCAAAATGCCAGTCAGCAATTGAAGTAAAAATCTTGGTTAAAATGTCATCCTCAAAGGCGTTGATGGAAATGACATTTAGATGGCGGGTGAATCGCCCTGGAAAACACGTGCGCACACTCTTACTTCTTGGGCCTAGTGAGTCTGTGACATGGGGGTTGGTTTTCCCTCTGCCTTAATACTCCAGAGCTGTGCTGTCCAATATGGCAGCCTCTAGCCACATGCGGCTATTTAAACTTAAGTTAATGAATAATAAATAACATTACAGATTGATTTTCTCAGTCTCACTCATCACATTTCAAGTGCTCAGAGTAACATGTGGAGAGTTTGCTGCCACACTGCGTGGTGCAGTCACAGAACATCCTCCAGGACTGCAGAAGTCTGGGAACAGTGCTAGTGTAGCGCTCAAGCTTGTTTTTAAAATACAAAGGCACTATGTGATCATTGTACAATAGTCAAACAATCAGAAATATTTTTATAGAAAGGGAGCATCGCCTTTCATTTACCTCCTACATACCAAGTCCATTCTTCCCCCTAAATTAACTGCTATTAATTTGGTATCCTTACGTACCTACATTTGTCTAATATTAGGTATCTATATATTTATACCTATATCTATATATCGGCTTCATTGAGATATAATTCATAGTCATTTTGATCATCTGAAACCCATTTTCTAGTAGATTCCTAAGAAAGGGCTTATGAAAAAAATCTCTGAGTTCCTGCATGTTGACGACAGTTTTGCTTTTATACTTAAAGGTCAGCTTTGCTGGCTATAAAATTCTTGACTTTCATTTTATTCCCTTGAGTATCTTAAACGTTATTCTATTTTCTTATGGCAGAAAGCATTGCAGTTGAAAAGTCTTGAGATAATCTAACTTTATTTCTCTTATAAGTCACGTGCTCTTTTTGCTCAAATGCCTAAAAGATTTTTTCTTTTTCTTTGATGCCCAATACTTATTCTAGTGTATGTCTTGATAGTGATCCCTTTGAGTCTGTAGTCTTAGGTACATGGTATAGCAAATACAATCACCCTGCCCATTTTTACCACTGAGAAAGTCACAGAATCTGAAGTCTGGAAATGGTACTAAGATTCTTATGCAAGGATGTATTTCAGAATATAAATATGGATCCTGGGTGGATCAAGTTGCACCTGAAGCAAATATGCTCCTAAACTATTAGGTGATGAGATGGTGTGGGAAGGGGATCTTATTTATTTGCTTACTATCATTATTATTTATTATTATTACTTTGCTTAGGCCACTTTTAGTTGTCTTCTCTTTGGCAATATGAGGAATTATAACAAACACAGAAGGTGAAACTCTCATACACCCCTAGTTGAGAACACCTGACCCGGCCTCCCTCCTGGAACACGTTGGACTCCTGAATACTCCTGGTCATCTGAGACTCTCTGTTCCTCTTCTCATCCTATTACAACTTCCGACATGTAGTCTTCCTGCCACTCCCTGGAGCTGGCCCAAACCACTTTGGCTACGGTCTCAACACACTTTTCCCCGCCTTCCATCAGGACAGAGTGCCCGAAGGTGGTCTGGCTCTGCCCAGGGGTGGGGGGTGAGTAGCAATAAACTTCTCTTTCACGTACCAGTAATGTCATTCCTTCCCCCCCCGGGGGGTCCCATGGCTGTCACAAGCAGCAGATCCACGATGTCTAGCTTGCTTGTGTCTTTCTTGTCAAACCAGTAACCATGGTCAATCCACTGCCTCAGGAGCTCAATGGGGGGCTGGGCCCCATACTCCTCTTTGGCTGGCATGTTGAGGTCATCTGGGGAAGAAGCCAGGGCCACACACTGTAAGTTTATGGTATCCTCTGCTCTCACAGGAGGCAAAGATGATTCTCCCTCCATGGGAGGGTCCATGCCCAGTTGTCCCACTCCTACTCTGGGCAGGGCTCAGCCAGTGAAGGTTTTGACCCTGTAGCAAGAGGCTTTCCTGGGTTCTGCCCATTGTGACTTTAAGGATGCATGGATTGGCATCAACAGGCATTTCATTTTCCCCCATTCCCTCAAACAAAATATATTGATTGTCTACTGTATGCTAGACATTTTGTTAATTTCTGGGGATATGTAAGGAAGACAGTCATAATCCCAGCTAACAGGGTATTTAATTTGACCAGCAGGTAATAGTTGAACTCCAATGTTGTGGAGCAAGGCTTTGGACTAGGACTTTTGGGGAACAAAACCAAAATGGCAAGTGTAGATTGTGACTGTCTCGAGGGCAGGAACTGACTTTCCCCTGCAGCACATTGCCCAGTCCCTGCACATAGGAGGCACTCATTAAAATGGAAGCCTTTTAATTTCTCTCCAACAAAATATTGACTGAATGCCTGGTTTGTGTCAACTAACATTTTAGGAGTTTAACACTTATTATCACACTTATTACCTCATCTAATCCAAATAATGACTTTGTAAGGAAGACTGTATTACCTTTATGTTGGAGGTGAGGAACTGAGCGTCGTGGGAGTTAAGTCACAATAAGCATAGGGTTAAAAAGTGAGATTTGAATCTAGATCTGTTTGACTGCAAAGCTTAAACTGTTTGTTTTTAATTATTTGTTTTACTTTTTAATTGGGCTTATTGAGATGACATTGGTTAATAAAATTACATAGGTTTCAGGTGTATAATTCTATAATACATCATCTGTTATTGTATTGTGTATTTACCACCCAAACTGTTTTTGGATATACCATCACAATAGGAAGGGAAAACAGGTTGGAAGAAAGAAGAAAGGAAGAAAAATAAAGGAAAAATAAAATAGAAGCCCTTCCTTTAAAGAGCTGATGTTAGCTGGCAAGGATATAAATACATGTAATATTCATTATTGATACACGAATTTTATTTTTTTTTATTGATTTTAGAGAGAGAGAGAAAGGGAAAGGGAGAGAGAGAGAGAGAGGAACATGGATTTGTTGTTCCGCTTATTTATGCATCATTGGTTGTTTCTTGCATGTGCCCTGACCAGAGATCAAACCCGCAACCTTGGTGTATCAGGACAATGCTCTAATCAACTGAGCTACCCACTTGGGGCAATATGTGAATTTTAAAGACAATGAAATAACTGAGAAGAGTAGGGCATTACTGTAACTAAGTGAGAACTCTAGTGGAAAATGTATTTGGCACCAAGAATCTTGGGTTTGGGTCACAGCTCCAGAATTTTCTAGATGTTTGACTCTGAACAGGGAATTTAACCTTCTGGAGCCTCAGTAAACTAACTAGTAAGGTGATAACGACGGTGTATAACCTCACAGCGTTGTGAAGCTCAACAGAGATAAGTGAGTAAGTGCTTTGTAAACTGGTAAAATCCTGGGAAATACCAATGTGCTTATTTCACAAATATTTCCTTAGCAACTATTGGGTTCTTCATTCACTGAGAACATATTTATCTGACACAAAATGGAATAGGGGTCTTATCACAAGTGTGTGTTGCTTTTGGAGATGCAAGAGGGCCAATCCCCTTTTGGAACCGTGTCTCACCACGAGGTCCCCTTGCCTGGCCCAAGGGCTCAGGTTGACCCCCGGAGAAACCGGGAGCCTGGCACAGGCCCGGAGGCCAGACCGTGTCTCGCTTACTGAAAAGGTGGCATGCAGAACTTGGTCAACAAATACTTGGTAATGGATTAAGGAGATGGAAGAAGAGGCAAAATTAAAGACGCAATGCAGGGACGGAAGAAGAAACAGGGACGAAGAGAGGAAAGAGGAAGGAAGGAATACTAAGTTATATTAACCAGAAGCATTTTCTCTCTGAGAGAGAAAGGGAACTGTAGAGGGCCCTGCAAAGGGAGGTGCAGCTCGGAGTGGAAGCACCTGGTTGCATCTGATCCAGACCAATGCCTTACCCACAAACACCACTGCCTTCTTCCCTATGGGAGGCCCAAAGAGGCCCTTCCGCCGTCGATCCAGCTTGGACATGATGATATCCTGGGTCTGATTGGCTGAGGTCCTGGCTGAAAAATTGATGCAGTTGGGCAGGTAGGTATTTTTGGGAAGGCGGAGGAGGAAGTTGTTGGTGATGGCTGATTTGCCGGTGCCTGTGGGTCCCACGAACAGCATGGGTACCTCATGGTCCAAGTAGGTTTTCAAGAAGAAGGACTGCCGGGCTGTCTCCATTGTGGGGATGATGAGTTCTGAGACCTGCACCCCAAAGACACGGAAGAGCCTTGGCACTGGGTCTTGGCATTCAGAAGACTCAGTTCCACCCTTACTATCCATTCAGCTCCATCCCTTCTCCTTTTTACCTCGAGTGAGTATTTAATAGCTCCAGGGGCCTCGGTTTATTAATCTGTCAAATGGGGTAATAACGACACCTAGTTCATTGAGCTCATGTATGTAAAGACGGGTGTTATTGTCCTTGGTTCACAGATAAGGAAGCTGAGGCCCAGAGCTTGAATCCCAGCTTGTCTGATTTCAAAGTCTATATCGTTAACCACTAAACTGCTATATTATAAACACCAATTACAATAAGAATGGGTCTGTAGCTGCTGCTCTCTGAGAGCGCTGCTTTGAACCAGCCTGTCTGCCTCCCTGCCACCTCTACTGCTTGGCTGAGAAGGGTGAGGTGTGACCCTCAACCCCTTCTCCCTGCGCTTGCTCCTGACCTCTTTTCCCAACATCCAGATTCTTGGTTCTCGGGACCACCCCCTCTTAACCCCTTTCCAATATGGGGATTGTAACACTCTTCCTGGCATTCAGACCCTAATTGGACTCTAAGGGCTTCATCTTGGGCTCCTGGAATCCCTCCTACTTTGGGTAGAACACCTTACCTTAGCTGCCTCTCTGAACCCAAACCCTGTCATCAGCCACTTGGCCCCATTTGGTCCCTCCATGGGGGCAGAGGGAGGGGTGGAAGGTATGTCTCATGTTGAAGTCTCCTTATATGTCTAGGCTGGAAGGGGCTCGTGAACATGGGGCCACTGCACTGCACACCTCCAGGGAGCACCGTCACACTGTGGTTTATGAAAATGGTGCCAGCTTGGTCTGTGCAACACGGGGGCCTGTGCATGCTGGGACACAAAGGCTCGGCTTCTTTATAAGTAACTTGATCAAAGGAAGAAGGTGAGACAGGGCAAGGGAATTGCCGTGGAGAGGTAGAGAATTAGTAGGTGCTGAGCTAAGGATATTTTGCCTGTGTTATCCCCCCCCCCGCAGTCTTCCTAGTAACCCTCAGAGGCAGGTGTGTAATTAGCTCAAATTTTCAGATGAAAAAAACTGAAGCTGGAGGATTGCTACTAACTCGTCCAAAGACATATCCAGTAAGTGATGCTGAATGCAGAACCAGGTGCAAGATGCCTATTTTGCTACCAAGACTGGGAATTTATAGCACGTTGGGTTTCATAGCTTTTTTATTGTCAAGGACAAGGGAGAAAATTTTGCAACAGAACTGAAAATATTTTCTGCATGAGACTCTTCTATCTGTATGAATTCAGAAAGATTTGAACCCCCTGGAGTTCAGGTGACTGAGCTCTTTAAGGAGAATTGACGTTTAGGATCTCAGTGCTGGGGGGGTCTTCACAACACTCAGCACCCCAGGGTGGGCCCTGAACTCAGCACACGCAGCTATGGTCCTGCCTGCTGTCTGACTTGACAATATTCCCACTTGCCCATCCACTGTCTACCACCACCCAGGGCCTGAACGATCTGCCATCACCCAGAAAGATAAATTATATCCACCAGATACTACACAGAGTCATAAAAGTGCATCTCTAGAAAAACATTCCACAAGGAAATTAGGAGGAATTATCAGGGAATCATCTGTTAATCAGAACCTGTTTTGCTGAGAATGCTGACAAGGAAATCTTTCTCTGGGATTTAAAAAAAGGCAAGTATCCTTTCTGTCTGAGATACCTGAGAGGTGCAGTGATGACCACCTAGCATTATTGATAATGGTAATAATCAGAAAAGCAACCACCACTGGCCTGCACATAGTATATGCCATATGTTCATGTATATTGTCTCCAAACCTTGCAACCGTTGTTTTAGTATTTTTTTTTTCCTGTTATTTTGAGGTTGAATAAACTGAGGCAGACAGTGCAGGCTGAGTAAGAAATCTGGGTCTCCCTGATTTTAAAGTCCATGCTTTAGAAGGCGGACCCCAGCTCATGTTTGAACCTTTTTCTAAAGAAAGCTCTTTAAAATGCTAACACAGAACTGAGGCTAATTCTTTTACCTTGGAGGATTTAGGTCATTTTGGAAACCAAAGTTCCATGGCCAATCCCTCTCTTTACCTTGGCCTTAGCTGGGATATTTTCCTCTTCTTTGGTGATATACTCCGTCCATGTGCACCAATGTCCGCTACCATGCTTGAGGAAATAAAAGTCATAGACGCTTCCTGGACCAAGAGAAACAGAACAGGGCATTAGCACGCCAGGGTTCACACGTGATACCTGAGGTGGTTAACTACTTCAGCTGGAGGCACCTGCAAAGGGTAGCTCCCAGGACCTGCACAGTGTGGTGAAACGCACGCACTGCTGGTAACTGCATAATCTGGAACAACACCTTTTTATTTTATTTTATTTTATATCTTTATTGACTTCAGACAGAGGAAGGGAGAGGGAGAGAGAGAGATAGAAACATCAATGATGAGAGAGTCATTGATCGGCTGCCTCCTGCACGCCCCCGACTGGGGATCAAGCCCGCAACCCGGGCATGTGCCCTGACCGGGAATCAAACCCCGATCGCCTGGATCCTAGTTGACACTCAATCGCTGAGCCACGCCCGGCCGGCACTTCATTTCTTTTATTGTTGAATAATATTCCATTGTATGGATGTATTATATTTTACTTATTTATTCATCAGTTGATGAACATTGGATTGTGTCCACTTTTTGGTCCTTATTAATAATACTTCTCTGAATGTTTGTGCAAGTTTTTGTATGGACATATAGACGTATACCTAGGAGTGGGACTGCCAGGTCATATCGATACTGTCGTAATTATCTGGGTATTATTTAACAGGAAAGGAGTAAAGGGAAGGCTAAATAATATAGGCCTGCCGCTTATACAGCTTTGCCAGGAAGCTGCAGTTAACATTCTCCAAGTCTGTTCCCCACCGGTCACTGCGAGAAGGGACTGGACAATAGACACATGCCCAGTAAGGTGTGGGCGATGTGGGAAGATGCTTACCTGTCACACCTGAGACCAAGTCAGTGGCCAGAAGAGACGTGGCCATTGCAAGGGCAGGAAACCTGAATATTTAGGTTCCTGGACCAAGGAGCCCTCTCTCTTGGCTCCTGGCCCTCTCGCTCTCTTGGGGCTCCTGTTGCAGGGGCTCGCTCCCCTGCATTTGCCCAGTGGCCCAGGGCCGTGTGGCCTCCACACAGTGGGTTAATAGACTGGATCTGCCTGAGGCTGAACTGGGTCCAGCTGCAGCATAAAACAGGAACTCTGGACACTGCCCTGCTTCTGGCTTTGCTCAACCCACGGCAGCCCCTCTTTCAGGACTGGCTTAAGGGACATGGGACTTTGGACCCCGGGAATGTAACTCCAGCAATAAAGCCTTTTACCGCATCTCACTCTCCCGTGGGAGCTTCTGAAAATGCCTGTTTCAACGGCGCCCCGAGAGGCCCGCTCCCACCAGTGACGGAGAAAGTCGATTCTCCGGTGACAGCATGCTGGCTCTGTTAGCGGCTGAGGAACCCGCGAAGTAAGCTGTGCAGAGCCGCGGGCCACCCCACCCGCAGCCCGGCGCCAGGGCTCCTTCCCGCTCCATCCCGCCCCGGAACTGGTGTCCGACTGTGTCAGACCCGCGTTCCCCGGTGGCCATCGTGCTGAGCCTCTTGTCCTGTGCTTGCCGGCTGCTCTTCTACCTTCTTTGAAGACATGTCTATTTGGTTACTTTGTCCATATTTTAATGGGGTTATTTGTCTTTTCATTATTGAGGTGTAGTACTTGTTTATATATTATAAATACATAGTCCCTTACAGGATACATGATTTGTAAAAGAAATTTCACTGATGTCTGTGGGTTGTCTTTTCACTGTTTTGATTTTGAGCTTTGGAGCACAAAAAATTTTAATTTGGATAAAGACCCCTTTACCTCTTTTTCCTTTTGTTGCTTGTGCTTTTGGTGCCTCATCCAAGGTCATGAAGGTTTGCACCTATGTTTTCTTCTAAGAATTTTATAGTTTTAACTTGTGAATTTAAGTTTGTAGCCCATTTTGAGTTCATTTTTGACTATGGTGTGAAGTAGAGGTCCAAATTCATTATTTTACATGTAAATATCCAGTTGTTCCAGCACCATTTGTTGAAAAGGTTGCTCTTTTCCTGTTTAATTATCTTGGTCCCCTTGTTGAAAGTCGAGTTACCATAAACATGAGAGGCTTATTTCTGGACTCTCAAGTCTATCCCGTTGATCTCTATATATCTACCCCTTTGCAAGTACCACACTGCTCATCTGTGAATGTTTTAAAAAAATTAAATTCATTTTATCACAAAATTTTCGCAGCAGGCATATTTTCTGTTTCTTAGGTCATGCTTTCATTTAGGTTCTTACTCACCCCCCACCCCACCTCTCTTGCCTGCATTATTGCCATACTGTTGCTCTGATGGGATCGGCTAAGTTCTTGACATCTTTCCCAACATTGTCTGGGGCCAGTTTATCTCCAGTACTTTCTTGACCACAACTAAAGAATTGGTGCATGGCTTTTTCTTCTGTAGCCCGAGGTTATAGGGATTAGGTGAAAAGAAGGGCAACCTGGGATCTGTATTATCTTCCTAAAATATGGCCAGCTTTCTTGAACTATCAGTCCATGCCACTCCCACCCCAGCTAGCGACATGCCCCACACTCCTGTGGGACTCAGCGCCTGTCCCTAACCCAGCACGGAGCTCTGGAGGGTACAAACCCTGGTAGTTTCCCCGACTTCTCCTAAGGTTCAGCATAGTTATGCGGAGGTCTCATGCTTGGGGGTTTCTCTTAGACATTTTGCACGGCTGCCCAGTCACCCCGGCAGTCCTCTTTCCCCAGGCTGGTGATCACCAGTAAGAGCTCTCGCGACCGTGTCAGCACAGCCCTTTCCTCTCAGCGCCACCCTCTGGAGGACAACAGGGTGCTGGGTTCAGGTCAGAGATGCAGCATGCCAGATCTTCTGTTTCTCTCCCTGTCCACCGCTTTTCAATGTGTATAGAATCAGGTTGTAATGTTTTCTTAGTTATTGCTGGGCAATTTTTAGGCTTAAAATTGTTGTTATTGCTCATTTCATTACGTATTAAAAGAGGGAACTCTTGTTATCCTACCTCTGCAGCGTGACCGAGAAGTCAGTCTGGCACAGCACTTTTAGGAAGCCATCTGGCACTGTGCTTACAGAGCAACAGAAATGGCTTCTAGTCTAAGTCAGAAATCCTACTTCTGGGAATTTATCATAAGGAAATAATTTACCATGAAAATAATCTCTATGCATGAGTATGCAGCACCATCTACGACAGCAAAAATTTAGAAATAATTTACATGTCTCACATCAGGAGTGCAGTCAAAATGATGTCGTATAAGATGAATGTAATATTTTGCAGTCAATTAGAATGACAGTTACAAAAGCTAAGTAAAAACATAGGAAAATGCTCTAAGAAAAAAATGATAGCCCGGCCGGGCGTGGCTCAGCGGTTGAGCATCGACCTAGGATCCAGGCGATCGGGGTTAGATTCCTGGTCAGGGCACATGCCCGGGTTGCGGGCTCGATCAATGAATCTCTCTTCATTGATGTTTCTCTCTCTCTCTCTCTCTCTCTCTCTCTCCCTCTCCTTTCCTCTCTCTGAGATCAATAAATATATATTAAAAAAAGAAAAAAGAAAAGAAAAAAATTACAGATAAAAATAGAAGAAAAAGAATAAAAAATGTAATTATGGCCCTGCTAGTGTGGCTCAGGGGTTGAGCATCGACCTAAGAACCTGGAGGTCACCATTCAATTCCCAGTCAGGGCACATGCCCGGGTTGCAGGCTCCATCCCCAGTCAGGGGCATGCAGGAGACGCCTGATCAAGGACTCTCATCATGGATGTTTCTCTCCCTCCCTCTCCTTTCCTCTCTCTGAAATCAATTAAAAAAACACCTCATTTACAAAAAAAAAAAAAAGGAATATGTACCACTATGGCAACTATGTGAAGAGATGGAAGCAGATGGCAAGGCAGAAAGATTTTTTTGAAACCCAAAATAGCTGTATCAGGGAGGTATGAACAAACAGACACTTTTTGGTCATTTTTATTTAGCAGAACTGAATTGTTTTTACAATTAAAAAAAAAAAGACACTAAAAGCATGATTCAGAAAAGCATTTATCCCTTCTCCCTTACTGAAGTTATTAGCTTTGCGGCTTGAGATTCAACTGAATAAAAGTGAATTTACCAGCTGCATAACCTTGGCCAAAGGTTACCATTTGCACATCTGTAGAATGGGCCTGGTTTTATGTCAAGCCTAGAAAATCACTGTGGAGGGTGCATGAGCTCTGGGCACACAGAAAGCACTTGATAACATTTTGTCTTTGTTGTCGTTAGATTCCTACGCACTCTGTGCTGTGACTGTTACTCTAACTCTTGTCCATGAGCAAGGGCGGGAAGGGAAAGAAGCGTAGAAATACAGGAAGACAAGGGATTCCTATTACCTCTGACATTCCCGTACCAGCTCCATTCTCCTCTCCTTCACTTGGGAGAGTGAGGAAAACTTCTCAACAGAGAAGTGAGTTTTCAAAGGGCACACAATAAATGGGTAAATAAAGGGAAATTTAGCAGTTTCTGCACAAATAAATCCCTGGGTTGACAGACAAGGATTCATGTCAGATGATGTGAACCCAACACTGGGAGACTCCCCGGAGGCCTGCTTGCTTCCCTGAATGCATGCGCCCTTGTAGTTCCCCCAGCAATTATCTGAGAGGTCCATTCACGCCATGGCCCCTAGATCACGAGGAGCCCTGCAATGTCCCAATGTCCCTGAGGTCAGTGAGGGCCTGGCTGAAGCTCTCACTATGAGAATTTTAACCCTGAGCCCTCGTGGAAAGGCTAGAAGGGCATGTAAAGTTCTTAAAGATGGTTATAAGAAAGCATACTCAAAGACAGACAGAAGAGTCCACTCCACATATTGTATAAGTCCACGTGTATGAAGCGTCCAGAAAAGGCAAAACCATAGAGAGCTGTTGAGCAGCTGGCTGGGGCTGTGGATGGGGAAAGGATTAATTGAAAATAGGCATGAAGGACCTCACTGGGGTGATGAATGCTCTAAATTTAGTCTAATGATCATGTTCTAGATTTGGATTATGGTGAGAGTTGCACAACTAGGAAGCTTACTAAAACCCACTAATTTGCACACTTCAATGGGTAAATTTTATGGTATGTAAATTGTGCCTCAATA